AATGCCAGGTAAAAATGCAGATGATGCTTGGAGGACATTCCAGGTACCTCTCTCTGACACGATGGAGCAGCCTTTCCATTTGGGAAAWGGTAGTGTTGGGAAAACAAACGCAGACACGGAGCGTGCGACCCCAGGGGAGACCTCATTCCCTCTCTTGCTGGGACATTTCTCTGGACTGAGTGAGCAGCCCTAGGCCAGCAGGTCGGACCCGGGAGGCCACCCTGCGAGCTGGGGACGTCGCCAGGATGTCACCGGYGCGTTCCCGCCAAGGGACTAGAGTCTCCTCTGGGGAAAAGGCCTTTTGCTGGCAGCGGCGCAGGAGGCAGCGAGGGCTGAACCTCGGGGYGCTCTGCGGCGGCATGGTGGAGCCGCGGCGCCCCGCGCCGCTCCGTGGAGGCTCCTCTCCAAAAAGGGCTTTGGCCTCGGCGGCTCCTGTAAGGAAACCCCTGTGTGCTGCTGGCCTCACCTGGGCCCATGTGTTTCTGCACTCGGAGCCCTGGAGAAACAGAAACGTTGTGATCACGGGCGAAGTTAAAGCTAAGAATCACACTAGTTGTGTTTCAGGGGTGCAAATTAAGACCCTTTGTCTGTAGTCACAAAGAACTAAGTGGCCTAAATTGCAGGTTTCTCTTAAAAGTATCCAAATACACTGAGGAGATAGAATTAACTTTATAGATGGATTGTGTTTTCATTCTCTCMTGACTTCATGGGTAGGATGTGCTCTAGAAGAAAAAGAGAATGATTTGGTGTGTAAGTGGGAGAGGGTAGAAGCAAAAGAAAGCCACTTCCTGCTGCTGAAATGGCATTTTCTCTAAAWGCCACTGACAAGGCTGCTTTTGGGGATTTCCATGCTGCATCCGTGCATTCACTGTGTCTTGCAATGGCTTATTTTTTGCTCGTCTTGAAGAYTTCTACCTGCTCTGGTTATCACCCACCTCATCAAAATCCTTAGAGGGACTTCAGCAAGTGGCAAGGAAAACTGTTTGGGAACACTTTTTCTTTTTTTCTTTTTTTTTGGTTTGTCATAGTGATGATTCTGGTCAGCGGAAGAYGGGACATAGAATCTCCTTGTGAGGGGAACATAGATTTGGGGGCCGAATGAGAAGAGATCATGATACAGCCACTTAGTGGAGCAGAAGGACTAGCAGCTGTTGAGGGTGTTCTTGGTGGGGAAGCAGTTCCAGTGGGAAGCAGAGGGCCATACTAAATGCTAGCACCGCTTGGATTCCTTCATCCTCCTCAGGGGACATGGTGAGGGCCATGAGGTCGGGAGAGAAAGGAGGTGGGCTCCATTGCCAACCCTGGAACCGTGGCTGGCACCGAAGCAGCTCACGCGTTGGCCGCCAGCTGCGGCCGGGCTCTTGGTAGCTCGGGGCGAACGGAGCAGCAGTAGCAAAGGTGGCATTTTAGCTCACGTTGGGAACCCGTTTCTGAGTGAATACTGCAGTCGCCTGCAGTTACTGCCTTGTGGGGCATGTCTTGGGGAACAGGCACCGTGTGTCTGGCCCTGGTAGCCCTCTGGGCGCTCTCCACTCATGAATGCACCTCCAGTTCACAGGGCCACCAGCTGAAGTGAAGCCCCTGAGAGCATCTTGGGGGGTGTCTGTTCTTTGGCAGCCCCTGCTCATTCTGCAGCTGTGGCCCTGCCAGGGCAGCGCGCTGAGACAGAGCCTGTGCTGCCGACCCTGCAGGTTCGTCTGGGAGAAGAGAGTGTGACCCCACGTGTCACACGTGTGGCCCTGGCTTGTCTGTTGTGGAACTCCCCCACAACTGGGACACCCAGCACGTCGCTGAATGAGACGGAAGAACCAAGCACCCAAGAGACTGTAGAAAAGAGCTCTTAATCGATGTCAGTCTTAAGGCGGTGCTGGGAGCTGCTGTCCTTGAGCTGCTGTTGTCCAATTCAATAGAATCAGAGAATGCYSAAGGTTGGAAGGGACCTCAGAGGTCATCKAGTCCAACCCCCTGCACACGCAGGGTCACCTARAGCATGGGACACAGGGCTGTGTCCAAGCGAGTGGGGAAGATCTCCAAAGAAGGAGACTCCACAACCTCCCTGGCAGCCTGGGAGATGGGATACTGGACGTGCTAGAAGCCAGCATGGCAAACTCTGTGTTTCCTGTCGTGGTTCTCAAAGGTTTGAGGTTAAAAAAGAAAAATTATAAGTATGTTAAAGATGAGTGTGATACAGTTAATGAGAAAATGCTTCAGGCTTTATTCATTTTTACTTTCTTGGTTGCTCTGTATATTGCTGAAGCACTATACGTTCTAAACCTGAGTAAAAGAAACCCTTTTATAAGATGCTATSTGAAGAATCCAACTGCTTGAATGTTCCCTTCTGATGTCTTAAAWAAAGACTGTACTGTGGACGGAGTCTCTGTGGAAGAAGAGGTGCTTAGGAAGTCCAGGGAGTTGTAAAACAGCTAACTGCAGTCCAGACAGTTCCCCACAGCTACTTCTTTCCTCGCCCTTGGAGATGAGGGAAGACTTCTACCAGGATTGCATCATTAGCCGTCTATTTTCAGAGCATTAAGCAAGCAATGAGATGTTCTCTCTCTCTATTATTTTCTATTATTATCTTGATGGAGATGTAGCAGTAGCGTGTAGCATCCTCCTGCTACTGTTCCATTTTCTGCTCCGCAYGGTTCTGTACCAGGCCAAGTGCCCTAAGACCAGAAGGATATGGCCATAGAAAAATAGGCTCAAAGTGGATTTTGGTTTTGATGGAGGTTGGTTTAGATGGTGGTTGGAGTGGCTTCTTTCTCCTGCTTCGTGATGTTTGAATTAGGAAAAAAGTCCTTTCCTCTGCTTCTGTGATGATTGTCAGAAGGTGGGTGTTAGGGTGGAGGAAGGTTTGATCTCAGCTGACAACTTTTGTTTCCAAGGGTGGTTTGGTAGGAGATTATTTTATTAAGAAGGGAAGCCAACACTTTGCCGAAACAGGAGTGAGGAAAAGGAGAATATTAGACTCCTCTTGTAAAGAGGTCATTTGGGGACCTGGGGATGCTCATCATTTTTGCTGGAGATCTTTCAGGCAACCAGAGTGAGCCCAAGGGTATGAAAGTTCAAGCACACAGGGTGTGGGGCCGTGCAGCTGAGTGGGTGGCATCTGTTTCCCACRGCCAGAAGCCCGTTCCGAAGGTAGTCAGCCCAAAATGGCATTTGGTGAAGACCGTTTCTTTGCTGTCCCATGCATTTCTGCTAATAGAGCAGCAAATAAATGTCCAGAGACTTGGTAACAGGCTCTCCTGCATGATGAAGGTGAGAAGTCACTGATATGGGGGTCAAGAGCTGCTGAAGCCACACTTGAAACCGCTGCTTGCACCAGCAGTACTTGAGGGACGAGGCTGCACGTATTTTGGCATCTGCTCTCTGCAGCATTAGATGTAATGAGCAGTTTTGTCCTTACTAAGTGCGTTGTGCTGTATTTGAGGTCGGGTTTGCCTGGATGTGAAGAGTGAATTACTTGAGCCTGCTGAATGATGCTTGTTTAAGTGCTCTCTGGGGAGGCTGCTGTGTTTGCACTACCTTCAGCTTGGAAGGARTCGGCCTTCCATTGGTTTCGGTCAAAAACACGATTGCAGAGCTGTGACAGATGAGCTTGATTTCTTTGTTTGAATTGTAGGCCATAGTTTGCTAGTCTACTTGAGACAAAGCTTAAATATTGTGGGGAAAAAAAAGTGTTTTAGTTTGAGAGAATGATCAGAGGTCCTATCATTTGACAGACAGATTATCTGTCAGTGATCAGAGCTCCTATCGTTTGGGCCTGTCAGTGATCAGAGCTCCTATCGTTTGGGCCTGTCAGTGATCAGAGCTCCTATCGTTTGGGTCGGTCAGTGATCAGAGCTGTCACGGGCTGTGGTGAATGGAGGGAAAACGTCACTGCCCGCGTGTGACAGCTGTGGCAGGATTCATTTTGCCCAGCTCCAGCACTCGCCCTGAGCCAGTCATCTCACTTGTTTTGTAGTGAGAGGAAGGGATGTCTTTGGGGGATGATTCATCCTACCCGCCCCAGGTGAAAGGGTGATTCATTCTCCGGAGGTGCTTGTGTCTTGCCGCTGACTGCAGAGAGAAGCTGGGCAATGAGCTGAGACCAGATCCCTGCGCCGCGCGGCCTGGGCTGAGATGAACCCCTTTCTCCGAGCTGTGAGGACTCCCATCCATCTTCCTGGGTGGTCCCGGCTCATTGATCGGGCAGGCAATAGAGCTGCAAAGCTTAGGCTGGGCATCTCCATCTCTTTCATGACAGCATCCCAAACACAGGATGTCTTAAAAGGCAAACCCTACGAATGCAAATGTGTTCGAGTTAGGTGGTGCCATTAACAAATACAAACCTGCAGTTATCCTGCAGTATGTTATTGATAGACCATGTACTTTTCTTCCATTATGCTTACTGCTAGCTGTTGAAAGAGCCTGCGTGGCCTGGTAATATCACCCAGGGGAGAAATAGCCCTAGATCCCGACCCTCTGGGCTCGTGTTTTGGCTCTGCAGGCCCTTTTCTCCTGACAGCAGCAGCTATACCTCTTTCCAACAGCAAACTGTGAAATTGTAGCCTTGATTCCAAGCTTAGCTCTGGGGAAGCAGGCGTAGTAATGAATGCTGCCTCACTCTCAACGTGCCACGCACATTCCCTTAATAGTGCCAGGCCTTGCTGTAAACATTTTAGCATATGTTTCTTCCTGCCGTTTCACCCACTCACCACATGCTGACCTGCAACCAATCCTCCCCCTTGTGATCTTATTTCTGTGTGTGTTTCTGCTGTCATAGCTGTTGTGAGGGCTGGTGCTGGGCAGGGCCCACCTGGATGTCACGTCATCCCCTGTTTGCCAGTGGTGTTGCGCTTAGTTTTCAGTCACCTTTCCATGTGAGAGCCAATAATCACAACTGAAATTTACAGCCAACCCCAGAAGATGGTGCCTTTAGAAGAGACTTCCTGAATACTCCAGTTAAGCTCTAGAAAAGGTCAATTATTTATACTGCTTATTTTGTTCATTTTCAGATGTGGACTTAGCTGATGTCATGAAATGCAAAATCCATCTGCACAGGAGGAGAAGAGCCCTCTGTAAGTAGGATCTGCTTGAGATATTGCGGGAAAATTGAAAATGTGTCATTGGGTGAGAAAATAATATTGCAGATTATATGAGCATTTGAGGAAACAAGGASTAACATTTAAGTAGGAGTAGTTTCAAAACTGAATGTATATCCCAATTTTAGCTCCTCCAGGACTGATCCTKTCTAAGGGTGTCAACAACTACAGAAATCTTGACTAGAAAACAAGCAGATTCTCTCAACTTACAGCTTTCTGACCTGGAGCTATGAGAAGATGTTAATCATTCTCTGTTAGGTTGTTTGTACAATCAGGAAGGGTGGCATTCTACCTAAATCTCTACAAGTACATTTTATAACAGTCCTGTTTCATTAAACAGCTCAATGAGCATTAGTTATGAACATTACAGAATGAAGTAACTGAGATTGCTCCAAGAAGGAAAAGTCAGGAGAATGGAAGGACTTGGAAACTGGTAGAGAGTTTCAATACAAGTTTTAATTGACCAAATCTTACAGATTCAGAATGGTTTGAGGAAGGTTGATGGATCATTAACCACTCAATCAGAGGGAAAAAAAAAAAAAAAAAAAGAAAGTAGAATCATATAGAATTATTATGGTTAGAAAAGACCTTGAAGATCATCAAGTCCAAGTAACTGAGATTGCTCCAAGAAGGAAAAGTCAGGAGAATGGAAGGACTTGGAAACTGGTAGAGAGTTTCAATACAAGTTTTAATTGACCAAATNAAAAAAAAAAAAAAAAAGAAAGTAGAATCATATAGAATTATTATGGTTAGAAAAGACCTTGAAGATCATCAAGTCCAAGTGTGTATGGTGAGAGTTGGCAAACACCGGAACAACCACGTTGCCCAGAGGGGTTGTGGAATCACCRTCCTTAGAGGACTTCAAGGCCTGACAGGACATGGCCCTGAGGGACCTGCTCTGGCTGCCCCTGTGTGGGGCAGGAGGGTTGGACAAGCTGATCCCCAGAGGTGTCTTCCAGTGTCAATTACTGAGTGATTCTGCATGAATTGGAAACCTGCCTGCTTTAATCGTTGGCTGCCATGATGTATTTGTCTGTAAGCAGAGTGTTGTGGAGCCTGCTGTCAGCAAATTGATTGCAAAATTTTGGAGGGTCGGAGTGTTCAGGGCTCTCAGTTTCTGCTGCTTCCACTCCCTGCTGGACAGGACCCACATCCTTCCTCCTTAGCATGAGCTCCATGTTTAAAATTCCCCTCTTAAGCTCATGTAGGTGGCGAGGCTTGTGTTCAGTACATTAATTTGTCTTTGAGGCTTAACTCGCATCTAAATTTTAGATCTCCAGTGAAGCACTCCTGCTTTAGAAGATGCTCAAGTTCCCTGTAGAGTCACTGGAGAGAGGTTGGTCCTGTTGAGATCCTCCAGAGGGAGGATCTAATTTACATGTAAATGTAAATGCGTAGGTAGCTCCGATGTTTCTCTGGATGACTGCCATCCTATCTAAAATTTCTGCCTAAAACGTAAGTAGAAGTTAGGTGCTGTATTTAAGCAGGATGCATTTTGCTCACTGTTAGGTGGCTGTGCTTAAGAAGAAAGAGCGAAATCTTCTCATTCCGTGGCGTGGTTGAGATGCCTGGCAGTTCGAATGAGGGGCTGCTCTGGAGGCATCGCTCGCTCTAACGCTGTTTCAGTTCTTTATGTTTTGCTCCTCTCGCTTCCCAAAAGAACGGAGTCCGTCAAAACAGTCCTCCCGGGACTGCAGCCTCACCCTGGCCCACCACGTTTTATTTATGGTTGTCACATCCCGTCCTCGGGGCAGGAGGGTCCAGAGAGCCGCTTGCTGACGCTGACAGCATTTCCTGCCCTTTTGTTCCGCGCTCTGCCGCCCTGTTGTCCCTATGTCCTCCTCTGGTGTCCGGCCTCTGCACGCAGGGGCCCCAGCTGACGGATTTGCTCGTGCTCCCGGAGGATGACAAAACCCAGCTAACTTCATTAAGGGTGATTTAATAACTTAGAGCAGGGGGAAAGCAGCTGCGCTGCTAACGAGTCTCTCTGTGCCCCGTCCCCTGCCCGAAAAGCTTCTCGTGCGTGCGGCGCAGTCGTCAGCCACTTGCAGACACCCTCTTGGTGCCAGAGCTGAGCGCCCGYGCGTTAGATCTGCCTTGAGCATTTGCTTTGCGTGCCCTGAGGCAATGGGGTGGCTGAGGATCTGCCGCTGTTAAAACTCCAGCAGGGGCCTAAAGCTCCTCGGTGTGTTTCTGCTCTCGTTCCCGGCAGAGGAGCCGCAGAGGAGGAGCGAGCGGCGCCCGGGCGAGAGCGGCCGCGCCGGGGCCCCGCCGCAGGCGCCCGCCGCGCCGCCCCATGACACCATGGCGGCCAGGGAGCAGAGCCCGCGGCCCGGCGCCAGGGCGCGCGCCGTGCAGCGCGCCTCCACCATCGACGTCAGCGCCGACATGCTGGGCCTCTCCTTGGCAGGTGGGTGCCGCGGCCGGGCCTCCACGGAGCCGCCTCTCCTTCCCGCTTCCACATCTCGTGCCAGGAGGTTTAGGGGCGTGTGGTTCCCTGGAGGGAGTGGGATAAAAGAGTTACCCCCACATCGCTRGGGAAAGTCTTTACGTTGTCCGTTTTTAAAGAGACCGGGCAGAGCAATAGGAGATAAAATAACAAATGAATGGCAGGGTTGTTAAGGGAGGGTCTTGGCAAGCTCCTCGTATGGCGTTGGGTGCGGTTTGCAGGAGAATCGGGAAGCTGCATTACTTTCCTTCATCTTTATTTAGAAGTAAATTAGGGTTATAACCACTGGAGGCCTTCTCTAATTAGTGAGCAAGATGAGTACTTTCAGACTTCTCCCTGTTCACTGATCACAGAGGAAATGCATTTAATTTAATAATAGTGGAGCTAATAGTGGCTAGACACTAAATAGCGTTAATCCTATTGTCTTTTGCTGGGATTTGGGATTCCTTGTTCCTATAGTCCATATAATTTTGTGGAGGCTTGCGTATTTCTGTGGCTGTGATAAAGAGTTTTATAAAATGAGATTGTGTCAGATTTTTCAAGTCATTTTTTAGCTACTGAAGATTAGCTAATAAATATTTTAAATATTATTCATGATTCATTGAATTAAAATATTCATATTTTCTGTAAAATGTAATTGCTTCCCTTGTATGACCTTAACTACTGGGAAAGATTTGTATGACAGCAGTGGTTGGTAATCTTGTTTTAACTTTCTGATTTGCAGGAAACATTCAGGATCCTGATGAGCCGATTTTAGAGTTCAGTTTAGGTAGGTTTAGAGGTTTTTAGGATTACTTAAAACTATCCTAATTTTGGTGCTGTGTGCTATGGAGTCTATGTGTCTACTTTTTGTTGTTTATACTGAAATACATTCCACATAGTCAGAACTGAAATTTTTGCATGGTTTTCTGGCCTAAGTATCAGACTAATATTTGGGAATGAATGCTCTGATAGTATGTTCGAAATGAAAACCAGAGATTTGTCTCAGATGCATGAAGTTGTGTTATGAATAATAATGTCTACAGGAACTCCTCAGAGCTGTTTTAGCTACCTCAGGTAAACTAAAAGCACACGCATAGAACTGCAGAGCTGTTCAGTGGACATTTAAACCTTTTGTTTGCCCAGCCAAAGCAAACTTGCAGCAAAGTAGCTGTAGTCACCTCTTTCTAACTCGATAAAATTTAGCTCTGCAGCCTAATATAATTATGTGGAATTGCTCGCTGGGTCGTTTGATAGTCATTTCCTATGCAACTGAACTCCCTTCCCAGCACTTAAAGTCCTAGTATCATTTTGGAGGAAATAAATTAGTGCCCTTTTGCAATTACCAGCTAGTTCTCCTCAGAGCAGTGCCACTTGATCAACATTCAGGCAGATCTGTTGGTTCTCTGTGGCAAAATACCATTTGGTAATGGGCTTAATGGAGTGTGACTTCAGATGCCACGCAGCCGTGCTCACAGGATTCCCGGTGGGAAAGCTGGGCATGAGCCCTGTTATAATGAGCYGGGCCTCAGGGATGGATTGGCAGGTGGTAGAAGAGAACAAGTTTAAATTACATCCACAGAGCTCGCAGCGAGACTATCCAATTACACACATTTACTGCTCTCATGCAGCAAGGTGAAGGATTCGCACTGTTGTGTTGTGGCAGCAGGGTGAATAGCAGGCGTTCTGTGCTGGTATTGTACGCAATATGCCATTACAAAAATTATTGAGCTTTACAGCRTTATTCAACAGACCACGAATCTAAATTTATTCCTCTCTTCCATACCTGAAGCTTGCAGCGAGCTGCTAACTCCGTCGCTAGACCGAAAACCAAATAGTTTTGTAGCGGTGAGTGTAACTACTCCTCCTCAGGCGTTCTGGACGAAGCACGCGCAGACAGAAATTATTGAGGTAGGTGGTCAGACACYGACAGGTTCAGCTGGCAACTGAAGCTGACACCAGAAGCATTTCTTCCTAATCAGTATCACATTGCATTAATTTTTCCTTTTTTCATTTACGATTGTAGGGAACAAGTAATCCTATATTCCTAAGCAGCATTGCCTTTTTCCAAGACTCTCTTATCAATCAAATGACACAAATCAAGCTCTCCGTGTACGACGTGAAGGACAGATCTCAGGGAACAGTAAGTGCTTTGCCTTCTGTGGCCTCCCCAGGCGTTGTGGCTATCGGCCCCACCACTGATTGTGGCCTCTAGCRCCTGCTTGCTTGCGAAGATCTAGGTTCTTGAGTGCCAGCAGCCCTGTCCCTGCTTGTAGGGGAGACTCTGGGGAAAAAGGGATGTTTCCCAAGGGGAYGCGTTCCTACCATGGGAGCCACGTTTGGGTCAGAGAGTGAAAATGAAACTTTGGCCCAAGCAAAAGTGGCCTGTTGAGGCCCATTCTGCTATTGCTCTCAGTTTTGCTGTGTCAGTGTGCTTTAACTTGTGTTTTTTGAGAGGTGTCTTCCTTTCAGTACTAAAGAAAGGAAATGGCTTATGGTCCTCATATAGAAAGGAGATTTTAACAAGTTATTGAATGTATTCGATTTTGAAAGATTTTCATTAGTTATGTATYGGCATATGCACTTTTTTTGTCCTCATATTCTTGTGCATAGTAATTGTGTTTTAGACTTTTGTGCTGTGGACAGGGGCTTTGTGCATTGCAAAGGTAAAAATTACAGTTCTGGTAATCATCTTCTTTCCAGATGTATTTATTGGGTTCTGGGACGTTCACTGTAAAAGAACTTCTTCAGGAGAGGAATCACAGGTTGCACTTAACACTAAGGTTTGTAATGTTCTCCTGTTCCATTTAGAAATTAAAAGCTTAGTTCCTGAAAATGTGCTTCAAATACAATGAAAGTTGTCCTTGAGAAGTGATAAAAACCCTTTTTCTTTTTTTTCATTTTTAAGTTCTAGGTCACTATTAAAGGAAAACAGGTTTTGTACTCTATGGTAATTAAAACATGTAGAACAGGACTTTTTCCAACATAGTGATAGACTTTCAGACCTAAGACATGAAAGTCTCTTGGGATCTGTTAGATGTTGGTTCTAGTTCTACATGCTGAGAAATTTTGGCAAAACCAATTTTGTTTTTGTTCACTTATTTTTTTTTTTTTTTGTGTCCACTTTTGTGTATGTGTCTGTGGAGAGTGGCAAAAAAAAAAGTAATTATGCTGAGACATAAACAGCCTGTGAGAGGGAAACCCAGCCCTTCCAAAACAGATCCCTTGCCTGGGCATAGAAATCTAGGCTGCATTTACAATTCAATACCTGCATGTTGCTAAATGTGTTTATTAATATAATGCACTGGAAATAGGAAGACTAGTCTTGTAGCCACATTGGCTGATGTAATTTTCTAGTTTAATTCATAGTGGAAGTTTTAGTGGAAAAAGTATGACTTGGGGAGAAATGAGATGGGGAAGATACAAGTTTAGTATCTGTCCTGAAGGTAAGAGGTCTAGTCATAGGGATGGAAAGCAGCTGCATGGAGAGGGACCTGGGAGTCCGGCTGACACCAAGTTAACCACGAGTCAGCAGTGTGCCCTCGTGGCCAAGAAGGCCAATGGGATCCTGGCTGCATCAGGAGGAGTGTTGCCAGCAGGTCAAGGGAGGGGATCCTGCCCCTCTCCTCAGCTCTGGTGAGGCCGCACCTGGAGTATTGGGGGCAGTTCTGGGCTCCCCAGGACAAGAGGGATGTGGAGCTTCTAGAGAGGGTCCAGCGGAGAGCGACAAAGATCTTTAGGGGACTGGAGCATCTCTTGTATTAGGAGAGACTGAGTTGGGGCTGTTTAGCTTGGAGAAGGAAAGGCTGAGAGGGGATCTGATTAACATGTACAAGTTCATGAAGGGAGAATGCAGGGAGGAAGGAGCCAAGCTCTTCTCAGTGGTGGCCAGTGACAGGACAAGGGAAAATGGGTACAAGTTGAACTACAGACAGTTCCATCTCCATGTGAGGAAGAGCTTCTTTTATGTGAGGGTGCCAGAGCCCTGGCACAGGCTGCCCAGGGAGGTTGTGGAGCCTCCTTCTCTGGAGGTCTCCAAACCCGCCTGGATGCCGCCGTGTGCCCCGTGCTCTGGGTGTCCCTGCTGGAGCAGGGGGTTGGACTGGATGATCTCTAGAGGCCCTTCCAACCTCAACCATTCAATGGTTCTGTGATCACCCATGAAATGCAATGTCAGGCAAAATTAGGGCAGGTAACTTTGAAGAAAGTAAAGTGAGATCAAGCAAAGGGAAGCGTAGTGTGTAAACACATTGTAATGATGTGTAGAACAGGGATCCTCCTCACAGAAGGTAAAGGGAAAAGCTGCAGGGGGAAGCATGCCTGGAGCCTGTTTTTAGCCTCCGTGGAATTAGCACTTGAAACAGTGACTGTGGGAGACGTGCAGGAACATGTGAACCTGGGCACAGCTGACCACAGCACAGACAGAGCTTTTGATGCTGAGTGGAGACACCTTGGGCCCTTTCCCTTGTGTATTGTAAAGAAAGAATTAGCAGATTTTAACAATGAGAAGCCAATGAGGGAAATAAGTTAGAGAAGACATCAAAAGTGTGATACTGATGATGGGTAAAATAGGCTTAATTACTCATAGCTGTGAAGAAGAGACTTTTTTTGAGGGAGATGAATAGGGAGAGGWGTGTGGTGGCAGGACTCCCCTAGTCCTGTGTTAGACATGATTGTTAGAAATTCTTTCATGGCAAAGTTGGAAAATAGGCTTTAATAAAACCATTGTTTTGATACCAAATGTGTCTGATTATCATCATCAGACCACGCTCATCTTTTCTCTGTTATGTAACCCATCAAATACATAAGCTGAATGGGAAGCAGTGTCTTATATTAAGTCTTAATGTCTTATACTGCTTCGTATCTTTAATATATAGACCTTTTCTAGCAGTCTTGTGCATGTATTTCTTTTGCCTCTCCAGTACCAGGGGRTTCCAGGGGGGTTACTTATGTTCTTYCCATGTATTTTTAAATGTAGGCAAYAGACTTAAAATGCCAAGTAAAGCCTATTTTTAAGTAATTTTATAAAGTCTTTCTCAAAGTTAGTCTGTGTGATGAGTGAGCCCAAAAAAGCAGAATCAGGTGGTGGGTCTGGATGCAGAAGAGATCAGCAATTCGGCACTTCTGTCTCCCGTGCCAGCTGCTGGCGGGAAGACTGAGAACGAGCCACTTCTGTGGCTTTTTAGTTTGTAGTGCAGCAGCTTCTGCTCTGCTAGAGAGTSAAAATGCTCAGTTTTGAACAATCCCCCCCATGCAGCCACATGCCCCCCGTTAATGTGCCCGGTTGAAGCTGCTTTTGTGTATGGCAGCCTGACTGCTGGAGCAGCGGGGTTGCACTAGATGGTCTCCAGAGGTCCCTTCCAACCAAAACAGTCCTGTGACTCTGTCGCTCGCTAACTGTAAAGGCTGAGCTCTCTTGGGTTTTACAGCAGTGCTGTAGGTTGTGCACAACCAGGAGGCCTGCACGGTGTGTTTGTGAAATGAGGGGGGTGTTTTTCTAGCCTTAGAATATAAGAATGTATGAAAGGGGGTTGAAAAGCTTCCTGTGTAAAATGTGCGTTAAGTGCATAGATGAAAAAAAAGCCTTTTGTAAGTGTTCCCTTGTTGATAAACAGGTCCACCTCCAAAAAAATTTCAACGCAGAGTGTTTGTTGCAGGTCTGCTGAAAGTGACCGTGTAGGTAACATTACAGTTATTGGATGGCAAATGGAGGAAAAATCTGACCAAAGGCCTCCGGTGACCAGGTCACCTGATACAATTAATGGCCGGGTGAGTATGACCATTGTATGGGCTGTAGAAAGCACGGGTTTATTGACAACACTGAAATATACTTAGTTAAGGTCTGTTGTCARCTTTCCTGTCCTTCTTAGTATTTTTAAATTGCATTTAGGATCTATGCTGCTTTGCAACTTCAGAAGTTCTCCAAAGAACAGCCTAATGATGGGGCAGCAGCTTGGTATTTGACAAAGGAAGAGCTTTGAGGTTGCAAGTCATGGAGAAAATTCTCATTTACAGTGCTTAAGGTGCCTCGAGGTGCCAGATGTCCCTTCTTGTGGAAAGGACACATGTGCCATGTCCTTGGGCTTGCGGTGCCCTGCGCTGGTGCAGCCAGACCGTGCATTTCTGAAGCAACAGGSAGTTCACAGCAGTGCAGTACTGAACCCTGTGAACTGGAGGGGAAGCGAGCAAAGCTGCTTTGGGGGTAATCAGGGAAGGTAGAGGGGAATTGCCAGAATTCCAGTAGGCTATTTTGAAAGACGACAGACCTTAAAAGCTTTTAATTAAACTGTACATGTTATGTGAATACCRAATATGTTTTGTGATAGCAAAATATTTTTCTGAGATCACAAATGTGTAATCCTATATGTATAATCCTTGGTCAAGCTAGAGGTTTAATTCTGTAAACTTTATATTCTGAATATACTTGCAGTAACTATATCCTTGTATCACAGTTGCAGCGTGGTTTGGTATCACTTTGTATCAAGCTGACAGATACTGGTGCGTAGTGGCTTTGAGKTCTTTGCAGCTCTGCTAACTTAAAGTAGCTGGAGAGCTAGGAGATCATTTTTTACAGTATTTTGAATCGTTCAGTAGTAAACAATAATCTTTAGATTGGGGAGAGTGAGTGAATTTATTATTTCAGGCTGTGGTAGCTTTTTTCCACAGAAAACATATTCGGAATATTTATTTTAAACTGTTGAATATTCCCTTTGTGTCTCTATAATGTAGTCATCAATATGTGATTTGTTTTCCTTTTTTTTTTCAGATGGTTTTGCCAGTGGATGAAAGTTTAACAGAATCCTTAGGGATCAGGTCCAAATACGCTTCCTTGCGGAAAGATGCACTGTTGAAATCTGGTGAGACCCTACGGGCTGTAGCTCAAATACTTCCATGTTCAGTAAAAGCAGGCTGTGTGKGGCCCCAGGATGTTCAAGCAGATGTTTCATTTGAATTGGAACAGGCTGCTGATTGAGCAGCACGTTATGGGAAGGTTATATAAGAATAAATTCTTTTATCATCTGCAATATAGAAGAAATCTTTTCTCATTAATTAGACTATCGAGGGGAAAAAAACCTCCATGCAACCTGCAAGTCTATTCCTAAGTAATCATTAGGGGGTGAAAAATCAGAGGAAAGTAGTTACATCGTTTTATTTTATTTTTTTTAAGGTGGGTTAGTTTTCCAGCGAGTTAGTGCATGAGAATATCCACACTTGGAAACGCTAGGCTGCTCCCTTGCTAAACTGGATGCAGCGTGTAATAAATCTAAGCCATTGGAGTCGAGCTAAATGCCGTGGTTTGAATCCCGCAGTGTTTGGCGGTGCCATTTGCCGCATGTATCGCTTCCCCACGACGGACGGCAACCACCTGCGGATCCTGGAGCAGATGGCCGAGAGCATCTTGTCGCTGCACGTGCCCCGGCAGTTCGTGAAGCTGCTCCTGGAGGAAGACGCCGCGAGGTGAGCGCGGGCAGGCGCGCTGTGACCAGGGCCTGCTTTTGTGTTAGAGCACAGAAACACCGAGGCAAAAGAGCAGCGGGAGCAACTTAGTGACTGGGCTGCTGTGGTAAACCAGGTTTCACCGTGGCTTTACTGACCTCAGGTGTGGCACGTGGCCGTTTACACTAGGCAGGACTCTCTAATCCTCTGCTTTTTGTAGGGGATTTACCTAGAGCTTACAGGACAGGAAGGAAAGGGTGTGAGTCATGWACTGAGCTGGCCATTCTCAGAGGAGGGTGGCGAGAGCAGCACTGCTGCAGCCACTGCATTATTCAACAGGGAATGTGCTGCTCTATAAAAAGCCATTTTTCAGCTACCCAAAGTAAATTTTTAATGATTCTTCGTTACTTTAAATATATTGGAGCCCCGAGTGGTGTTTTGCCCAGCTGCATTCTTAAAGGGCTGCAGGATGGAGGYGTGTGCGCTCGTAACTCGTGCCTGTCTGGTGGGACACTTGTTCCTAAAGCCTTCTACTGCAGCCATGAGCAAGAATCTCAGTGTTGCAGCATGGTCTGCATCAAGAGAAGCTTTAACTTATGGACAAACTTACCCTGGGATGCTGTCACTGGGACTGGCTGAGCATGGACTGTCATCTCCTGCAGATGCCAGTGCTCTCTAGCCGCTCGAGGAGTACAGAGTGGCACCTGGAACAGATCCTGCGTCATTGGCATCTGATGTTTCCACTGTCCTTGGTAGAGACATGAATGCCTGTTCCTTTTATAGCATTAAAGTTTCCACAGAAGTAATGTGAGGAAGGATACGTGCATCCTTGGGCTAACGTCAGGCATGGCTAACTGGGACAGGTGATTGCATCTGTATTTTCTCCTACCTGCCTGAAAATGCACCAGGTGGCTCGAGCTGTTTGCCCCCACAGCCCTAGCTGTGGGATTTGTGTTGGGGACTGCTCTGTTCCTTGGTTTCCCTGCATCTTCCAGTAAAGCCGCTGTGTAAATCATTGTTTGGGATGCTTAAAATTTGGCCTTGAGTGTGTGCTGGTGCGAGAGTACAGAGGTGCTAGTGGTGAGAAAACTGGTGGTGAAGAATTAGGATGATTCTGCGCTTAGGGGTTTTCTGTTACTCTCTCAGAAAGCATTGATAAGTAACTATGTTACTCATTAATAGTGTGAYAGTGTTAGGACCAGTGCGTTAGAATATGTCGTGGTTTATATCTTTCAGAGTATAGTTTGATTACATTTATCAAAGTTTATTTTCCATATAATGAAAAAATGCAGTTCAAAATTAAATGTATCTCATTGTTTCCAGGAGGGAGGGAGTGTGGGTGCAAATGACAAAGTAGTAATTCCAGTTACTGAAAATTTTGAGAAAAGGACGGAGAGGAGGCCAAAAGCAGCAGAGTGGAAGGAATAATTGGAGTAGCAGGCGGAGAAGGAAAAGTTAGAACTGCTTTGAAGGTGAACTCTGCAAAAATTGAGTGACTTCCTTGCTATGAAGAACAAGCAGAGGTAGATCATAAGAGCACAGACTCCTCTCAGTGAGTTGAGGGATGGCTTGGAGAGTCAGAGCAGACCTGCTCCCATTTTGGGAGGTGGAAGGCAGAAAGGAATCTCTTAAGCAGTTTGCAGAGTTGCTCTGACTTTACTTCTTTTGAAGTAATTAACTCTCCTGTAGGGAATGTAGCCATTTATTAACCTTACTTTCCTGCACATGCAGATTGTGGTTTGCAAACATAGTGGTTTGAGTTTTCTATATAAAAGTCTTTTTTTTTTTTTTTTTTTCATGGAGATGACAAAATAATTTAGCTATATTACTGAGCATTGTCTTTTTATTTTGGGTATATTTGAATCTACTCCTAGAGGAGGCCCAAGTAAGTCCAACGTTAATTAGACATAAAACCAGCTAGTGCTCAAAGTGTCCAGTGTTAATACATTTCAGTTCCATTGGGATGACTTGAAAGAAAATGATATATTAATCCATATAAGCAGAGGAGTATACAGTGTTTGCATGTATTTTGATAATTTGGAAAAATGATGACTTCTCACAAGAATAGCCCAGTGATTGCAGTTAATTTTTTTTTTTTGTATTTTTGAATATGTAGAGAAGAAACTTCCCTGTGRCAGGGCTGGTTGAGTTTTTGCACTTCACACCATGAATTTTTGCTGCTTTAGGTCTTTGGTTTGGGGCTGTGATTCTGTGATTGGTYTCTGGGAGATATGATGAGTAGAAGTGTTTTGTGTTAAGGCCATCAAACTCTTGAGCTCTAGAGAGCGAAAGTCCTGCGTGGTCCCACTGCTCAGACCTTGATCGCGGGGCTTGCAGATGTGCTCACCACGACGTGTTGCACACGAATCCTCCAGGACTCTCTGTGTAGCTGGTTCTCTGTGACTTTCCTCTCTTTTAAAAGCAGCTCTTAGTGGTGAGGTGGAGCCACACTAATATAAAGTGTTGGTAAGCTTCTCTATAAGGTGCCCTCTGCGAGGGATGTGGATTAACAACCTGAAGACAGCAGGAGGAGAGTTTAAGGTGGGTGGGAAGGAAGACGTGGCTCCATGCTAGGCTGTGAGTAATGAAGTTCCTTAAAGCCTTGGCCTTGACATGTGGCTGCCTGGGGGCTCTCGCCAGGAGGACTGCACATCACATACGGTTCTGGGTTAAGAGCAAGGCAGGAGATGGCCAACACAGCGCTGTGACCCCTGTTGTAGCCCCCAGGTTACCTGGCAGGCYGCACAGTTGCTCTTTGTGAGGAATCAGTGAGAGTTTGTGGCAGATCCATCTGCCCTTATTGCTTTGGGGGGACCCTTTGCTTTTGGCCAGTGCTGTTACGTTTCTGATGATTCTGGTTTAGGGTGGTTTTCTGCAACGTAGGTCCGGATTAGTGCCCTGTTTTGCGTTGATGTTGCTGATTCACGTGGGAATKAGCCCAATAGTCACAATTTGCACTCGTAGGTTACCTCAGCCTTGGCCACATGCCCTTTTCTGCACCCTCTGCACTGTTGCCTGGAGGAGAGAGAGGCAACCAAGGCAGCGCGGATGTGTCCTCAGATAATCCCAACTGCTCTCTCCTACACAGAGCCTCCCTGGCCCYGAGCTCTTTGAAAGGAAATAAGTGGCTAGGGGGACGTTTAGCTGCCTAAYATTTATGTCATGCACATCCCCTGCTAGCTCGGAGCCTCGCGGGAGCAACAAGTCAAGGATATGGTGGTGGCTTCTGTAGAGCTTGAGGTTTTAAGGCATCCATTTGCTGCAGGAAAGGCCCGGCTCAGCTGCGTGACCTGGTTTGTGCAGGGGGCTTGGCAGGACGGTCGTTAACAGCTTCTTACGGAGGCAAAGTTTACACGATGGAAGTGAAAGCATCTTTTTCCAAGTCACTGGCGAATAGAGTTTACATTATATCTGCCTGCTGGCACATCAGTCTGATGGTTTCTTGGGAACTTGCCTCCTTTGATGATATCCTCAACACTGCAGAGTAGGAATTACTCTGTCAAATGCTGTCTCAGATTGTATACAGGCGATTGATTGAAGCTGTGGGTAAGAAGGGATACTGAGAGAATGCAAAAAGGTCTACTAAATCCTTCTGATTAATGGTAGTACTCCATCCTCTGTGTTAATGTGAGTTCTGTTTAGTGTTGGCTTATTTACTTTTACTTTTTCYCTTCTTCCTCTGTTCCAAGTAGCATATTTAGTCCAACAAGATAGTAATCATAAGCGTTACATAAAACTGTCTGGCCTTGGAAACTGTCTTGTAGATACCTGACAGGAGGCACAAGGAGTGTCTGTGGTTGGCAGATAGGTGCTAATCTCCCCCCTAAATCTTTCACGGTTCAGATTTAACTTGAGAGCAAACTTGATTATCTTAAAACACCCAAGAAAGRTCATCCCTGTCCCACGGGTGAATTCAGAATGTGTCAGCCGAGAATGGTCCTGTGTTGCTGTAATGTGGAATGACAGTTCCTGGTGGACAGCAGAGCTAAACATCTCTCTTTTTTTTCCCCTTCCTTTTCTAGGGTTTGTGAGCTGGAAGAGCTAGGAGAGTTGTCTCCCTGCTGGGAAAGCCTTCGTCGACAAATAGTTACTCAGTACCAAACAATTATATTAACTTATCAAGAAAATCTAACYGACCTGCATCAGTATAAAGGTCAGCAAGATCTATTTGCAGTAATAAAAATCATGCACCTCAATTGTGCTTGTCAGTGTTCCTCTTAAGTTGGTAACTCAGAATGATTTCGTTTGATGATTAAAAATACTGTTTAGGTAATTTTCTTTTATTAACCTTTATTATGAATTTGCTGATGATTTGAGAATATTTTTCTTCTTGTTTGTCATTATTTCACCCTTAAAGTTGAAAAATTTCGTGAACAATGACAGAAAGGCTCATTTTCCTGTATGTTTTCCTCCTATCCTTTCTTATAGCACATAGCAAATGTKGAATAAAGTCTCTTAAGTAGTTAAGCTTAGGAGAAGCGGAGGATTTTTAAAGTTCAGCTGCAGAATAATTATTTTTCATTTGTGTTTCCCAGGTCCTTCATTTAAGGCCAGTAGCCTGAAAGCTGATAAAAAACTGGAATTCGTTCCCACAAATCTACATATACAGAGAATGAGAGTCCAGGATGATGCAGGATCAGGTATATTTCTTCTTTTTCTCTTCTCCATTTTTTCTGTTTCTTTTTTTTTTCTTCCATTTTGGGTTTCCATCCTCAACCCCAGAGCCAAGTTTCTCCATACTGTTGTTGCGTAGTAGTAATGCCACATGACGTTGTTATAGCACCTTCCATCCTTGGATTCCGAATATCTTTGCAAAAGAAGAGGTGTAAGTATAATTGTCCCCGTTTTAAAGGTGGCACAACTAAGTTCTGGACTTAACTGTGCCTGAGGTGATGTAGGTGAGCCTTGGTGCTGTGGAGCCCATTGGTTTAAACTGCTGCACTCGTTCCAGTCTCTTTGGATCTTGCCAGGATAGTAAAGGCTGTGACTGTTGTTAAACGCTAAGTTTATGTGCTTTTTATTTATTTATTTATTCTTCCTCTGGAAGCATCAAATAAAATCATGCCGGTTCATTCACAGGCTTGTTTCTTTCTAAATAACCTAGTTTTGCCCTTGGTTTAATGCAGCTGACCACTAATCACAGACACAAGCTTGCACTGTGTGTATCCATGTGAGGGACACCTGTAACGGGAGGTTCATTTTTTTCCACTTTAAAAGTACTTGTTGGATTTCCAGGGCCTCTAAAACGATTCAGCTTCTCTGTGTCCTTCAAAATACTGGCACAAGACTTGGCAAAGTTGCTTTCAGAGTAGCTTTTAAATTTCCCACAGCTGTTTGTGCACAGGAAAGATGACAAGCTTTCATTTGTAAGTCCTTTTTGTCCATCCCAGATCAGAACTACGACATAGTCACCATAGGAGCACCAGCAGCTCATTGCCAAGGCTTTAAATCAGGAGGCTTGCGGAAAAAGCTGCATAAATTTGAAGAGGCAAAGAAACAGTAAGTAGAAATATTTTTGTGTCAGCTGCTTTCATGCCTTTTGCTAGTGCTTCATGCTCAGTGGTTTGGAAGGTCATTACATTCCATGTTTTTGTTGCACCTCATTCAAGAGTTCTGCTATACAATGTGAAGATGAGTTCCTGCTTTTCCAAAAAATAAGGAAAACAATTTCCACTTTGCTTTACCATATTTACTTGTTTACTGATAGGCTCTTTGTAGTGCTCTTTTTAGTGAAACCTTTAACTTTCTAGAACACTTGTGGATTAATTATTTTAGGTATTTTAAGTGTTGGGTTTGAGATTTGCCTAAATTTAGGTTAGAAAATCTGACCGTAGGACCTCCTTAATGATACCACGCCACACTTTTCACCCTGTTATTTTCAGATTTCTACCCCTGTCATAGCTTCCAGGCGTTCAGGTTGATGAATTCTCCTTCGTGCGAAACAACTGTGCTTGATAGGCAATTTTCTCATTGAAAGCTTGGGTTGGGTTGAATGGGTTGAGCGTGGGTTGAATATTGAGGGAGTATTTTCTGTACTGCCTCAAGGTTTGTGCAGGCCACGTGCAGAGCAGGCTTCTGACCCCAGCTTCACTCTACCCTACRGGCAGGATACCTCCCCTGCATCATCCTTGTCTTTAGGGACTCTCTGGAAGTGCAACCATATGCACTGGAGGAAGAAGCAGGAACTGGGAAGGTCACATATACTCCAGGGACAGACCTGCACGGAGTCCACACTGACTCCCAAAGACTGCTCCCTGGGTCTGCCTTAGATTTGCTGCAGTACAGAGGATTTGAGGAACAGTGAGAGTGGCACTGCAGGGAATCTCYGTAGCCAGGGGAGCAGAGTCCTTGAAAATGCTCTTTCAAAAAGAAGGGATTGATGGTTTGGAGCTGATGTAAGGAATGAGTGATGCACTTGAGCATCAGGCTGCTGGGAGCAGTCAGGCTCTGCCAGCTTGGAGAACTGGTTTTGGCAGTGGATTAGTGAAGAGCAGTATCCTGTGAACATTAGTCAAATGTGTAGAAAGAGCAGTATGAGAATCTGCCAGGTGTGCTTGTCCCTAACTTGCCGGGTGGGTAGGATAGGACTGCAGGAAACTGAACCTGGATATACTGCTACACTAAGGTCACCCTTAGACACCTTATTAGGCCTTGGACACTGTATCCTTAGACACCAATGCTGCTTTCTGAAATACCCTCCTCTGTCACCTGGGGTGGGTCTCGCTCTTGCAATATTCAAGGCCCTATGTATTTTTTATTCTCTCACAGTAAGTAAGCTGATCAGAGAGTTTAATTTCTGTCCAGTGCCTTTCCTGTAAGCATTATATAACYCATCTTTCTGGCTCCAGGAAAACTGCAGGTTCCACATCTGAAGGAGAAGTTTTCTCTGGTGGTACTTGCATAGGCTGTGGACCTTTTGCTACTCTGGAGAATTATTTGGGGGGATTTTCCTGTTCAGCATTCACTTAGATGGCAGTTAGCACTTTTGCAGTAATTTATTCCAGGTCAGGTAAAAGCAAACAGGGACATGTCCACACAGAGAATCATGATAGGTTTTTGATACAGAAGATTAGAAAATCAAGTATTAATTATCACATATTTCATCTGGTTTGTTTAGCTGGTGTTTCTATTCTAGAGAATTTATTACACTCATGTATTGGAGCTGTAGAAAACCCCCTCAAAATCCTGAAATATTCTGTAGTTTGAGATATACAGAATGATCTTTGAAAGACCTTGTGCTGTGTAATTGAGACCTGCTGTTATGTGCTTAAGGTTTTAACACCAGCACTGTGGGCCACAGCCCCCAGAAATTCAACCATTAGGTACCCTGGCATAAACGGAATCGATAAGGAAGAGCCCCTTCCAGTTGGAAATGTGCTAAACAAGTCTGGTAACAACAACGATCTGCAGGTAGCCAGACTGCAGCCAGGAGTGATGGGATTCCCATCCTCCGTTTCCAATGCCTTTAGTGCCTTTAATGTCTTTAGTGAACACCTGAGCTCGGTGTCCTGGCGGATACCTATGGATGAGGGGCTGGTACCCTCCTGCAGGTACCCTCACCAGGCCGTGAGGGTTCCTGTTTCTCTCCATGGACCATGCCAGTGGTATAGGATGACTAGCTTGGATGCAGACATTTATGGTGTAGGTGCCTGCAGCTGGGTGAGGTGTGTGTATCCAGTCCTCACTTTCTGTTGCCAGTGCTAGTTCTAGGGCTTAGGTTATAAGCAAGTTAAGGCTCAGTTTTGCAGTGGCCCCTGCCAGCCTAAAGCACATTAAGAGCAGGCTCTTGACTGGGTTTATTGATAAACCTATTATGTTGCATTATGTATCCCATGGCTTACTAATTGATTAATTATATTGTAAATCTAATTGGCATATGTACTGATACGGYAGTATGAATTTCATCTTGGCTGTTAATGTATATTATGATTTTAGGATTGCAAAAGCAAGGGGGCTTTTTTTAAGTAGCACTTTGTTGTCATGCAAACCCCTGTAATAGAATTGAGTTTCCTCTCTTTGATTTCCCTCTTACCTAGCTGTTGTTCAATTCTTTTATCTTTCACTGGCAAAATCCTTCTTTGTGAACCACATTTCCCCCAAACTAGACATGTGGCAATCTGTGTTTTTGGCTTACGAGTTTAATCGTATGTAGCTGCCTTGTTGAAAACACGACACGTATATGTGATTTCCCCAAGCATCCTTTGCTTTGTTTTCTGCTTTTGGTATCTGCTAACAATCTGCTAATTTTATGTTGGTTTTTCATTTTTTTAGCAGTTATGAGGAGTGTTGGTGAGTTTTCTGTTTCTGAGTGTTCTGTAGAGAGGGTTTCTGTTCCTTGGGTTGTTTTGTTTTGCTTTGTTTCCTTTCTCTTTTCTTTGGCAAAGACCTAGTGTGTTCTAGAGTGTGCAGGGCTTTTTAATGTCATGCATCACGGCGCCCCTCATCGTGCTCTAAATGACTGCAGCTACTCTGTGGAACATGATGTGTGAATGGATCTCGTTTCCYCTGCAATGTTTGTTTGTAATGAACAGCTGCTTCCTGGCTCTCCCAGGGCAGAAGTTAGAAACCTGAAGATTAGAAAAAAAAAAAACGGATCTTTTCGTGTGTTATTTCTGGTGAAAACAGAAAATAGTAGAAGATAAGGAAGATAGTACTATTTGGTAATGCTTATGGTGACATATTGGGCATGGTTTATATTTTTGTAATCCATGTCTTCGTTGAAACATTTTCACCCGACCTTGGTGTATTTTTCTTCATGTCATGGTGCTCAGTGCTATAAAAAGGAGTCATTATTGATGGTTGAACAGTGCRGAAGTTCTGCTCTAAATTACTTACGTTTAGGGTTGAATCTCTAATCCACCGAGAGCTTTAAGCTGGTGTTATAGCTTACTTTACGCAGCCCAGCGAGAGCTGTTCATTTGAAAAAGCAATTGCAGGTTGGAAAGATTATGTGTGTGAACCTTACACCATACAATCTGCCCCAGTCATCCCCGCAAATGTTCGTGATTAAAAAAGTAATAATTCCAAGTGAGATCTCAACATGCTGCATGGCCTTTCCTGCCACCTACTTCATCCTTGTGCATGTTAATCACGCCGTAGTGGAAAGAAATTGCTCAGAGGAATCGTCACTGAGATCTCCAGTCAGTACCGGGCCTGAGTCACGTGCGCCCCGAGTCCTAAAAGCCGAGATTTATTTTCTCCAAGGCTTAGGGCAGTCCCAGGAAGCGCCCTCCGCTCCGGTGCCTCGCCAGAGGGACGCAAATAAGGAAGCTCTTTCAAGGATCCCTTCTGCTCCTCTGCCCTTTGAAAAGGCCGTTTCAACACGTGGGGACGTTTCAGCAGGAACCCCGACAGATTAACCCCTCTTGCCTTAGGCTCTGTGAAGGGGCTGGCGTCGGTGGCGGTTGTTCGGAGCGAGGCCCGGGCAGCTCTCCTGTTTTCCCTCACAGACGCCGTGCGGGGCGGCAGCTGCGGTTCCGCAGGGAGCGCTGGGCCCGGCCCGGCCCGGCTCGCCGCCCCCGCGCTCCTGCCTGCTGAGGCCGGCGCTGAATCCGTTCACTGCTCTGAGAAATGAGTATCGCAAAATTAAGATGTAATCTGGTGGGTGGCACCTCTCGGTGCCACAGCACCAATGGGATATGGCTCTTGGCACAGCTGGAATATTGGCCTCATACTTGCACGGCTTTCATGCCAGGGGGGAGAAAATACAACAAGTTATCCGGCAAAGGGAGAGATGGCAGCTTGGTTCCAAATAATCCGGCTGTTATGCAACTTCAGCCAGCTGAGAGCTGAATTTTTTTCCCTTGCACCCCCAAGTAGACRGTATCAGTGGAGCTCCAGTATGCTGACATATGCTTTACTGGTATAGGTTGCTTCCCTTCCCGGCTGGAGAAAAGGTTGCTGTTGCTGGTATAGCTCAAATAAGGCCTTTTTCAACAGAGAGAAGTGCCCAACAGCAGAGGGTGTTGCGAGCAGTACAGCAGTGTCTGCACTAGGGCTCGGGGTGGCGATTCTCTGTGGGCAGAGCACAGATTTTCTTTCCATGGTGCTAACAGGTAGTTTAAGTACCYGGCCTCGGTGAGAGTCTGTGTGGTAAGGAGAGGGAGAGCGGGGCAAACTGTCCGTGAGCGCAATGGTTCCCTCTCCGGTGGAAAATCACATCCTCCTCAGCAAAATTGACCCTCTAGGATAGGAGCTCAGTCACCTGGCGTAAGGGATTAGTGAATTTGCATCTCACTGCTCCCAGTAAAGGCAGGGAGGCTCTAGGATYGTGTTCCTGCTGTGCAATTGCCCACTTGCCTTTCCCTGCTGATCGCTATCGCGGGTGGTTTTTTGTTGTCTGCCATTCATCCCCCAGCATGCTGCTGTAGTGTGTGTGCTCTCAGGTCCATTTTCCCCCTAAAAGCATTGCTTCTCTTTCAGCACCTCCACAAGTTCCCAGTCTATAATCTACATCCCACAGGACATCGTTAGAGCAAAGGAAATCATTGCACAAATCAACACCCTGAAAACTCAAGTCAGTTACTATGCTGAAAGGCTCTCAAGAGCTGCCAAGGATAGATCAGCTAACGGCCTCGAAAGAACACTTGCCATCCTGGCAGACAAGGTAGGAGAATAACATGCCCCCGAAGTACAGCATATCCTGAAGCACACTGTGCCTTTTTAATCTCTTTTTCTTCAGTAAGTTTTCTGGAGACATTTATTTTACCATGTACAGTAATATATTGTACCACATACAGTCTTAAAAAATAGGAAAATCRGATCAGCCTTTTGAATCCACTGCATTTTACGGGGGTTTTCTCCTGCCTTTCTCACTTATCTGCCTCTGCCTTCTCTTGAGAGTGGAGAGCTAAGAGCGTAAAACAAGGTGTTCTGCTACCCTCTATTCAGTCACCGTATTCCAGAAATGAGCATTCCTTRTTTTCTTTAAACCCCTTTTCTTTGTAAACCTTTTTTTTTTCTTTTATGTCCCTATTAAGCATCTAAACACAGTCTTCCACCGCAGTGCAACACAATCTGATTTACAGGGGAACAAAGCAAATAAATGACTTCTTATGTCCACAGAGGAGATCTCAAGTTTCTAAATAGCAGTAATAGCAGAGATGTATGTTCAACCATCTTGCCATAAGTTGACCTGCTTGAGGGGATATGTATTCAGCTTCCTGGAGTGTGATCGCCTATAGAAGAATTAGTTATTAGAATATTCATTCTAAATTTATACAGCAATGTATTGTGCAGCAATGTGCAATTAATCATTGGGACAAGGAGGAGCTGGATAGTTGTATAACTTGGTATGGGCTTTTTTTTTTTTTTTTTTTTAATAGACATATAGATGAGTTGAATTCTTAATCACACAGCCTACAGATATCCTGTCATATATAATGCCACTAAATATGACAAGGAACGTGCTGCATTGTTTAGGGGGTTGTGTCTTTAGCCTCCTTCTTAAGATTGTTTGCTATTGACACTGGGTGGTAGAGGTTAAAACTTGACTTGTCTGCTGTGGAACTGTTGGATATTGTAAGAMAAAATGCCTCCACGTTGTTTTAACCTTACATCAAATGGAGAGTGGCATGCTAAAAACATGTTGAGAATTGCAAATTTATTACTGCATTTTTCAATAAGAGGCTAAAACAGTTGTATGACCTTTGGAAATGTATGCTTTGTAGTTTGACATCTTATGTATCTTTCTAAGGGATGCTATAAAATGCTTTTAAAGGCATCTCAGACGCTGCTTAAAGATGGTTATTTTGTTTTAAAAAGAAGAGATTTACAAAAAAAAAAAGTATACAGAATGATGGAAATGTTATCAATTGTTGGGGTTTTATTGCTTTTTAGACCCGGCAACTTGTCACAGTCTGTGACTGCAAGCTGTTGGCAAACTCAATACATGGACTGAACGCTGCAAGGCCAGATTACATCGCTTCAAAGGCTTCCCCCACCTCTGGGGAAGGGGAACAAGTGATGCTGAGGAACGACCAGGACACCCTGGTGGCCAGGTGGACGGGGCGGAATAGCCGGTCTTCTTTGCAGGTGGATTGGCATGAAGAGGAATGGGTACGTTTGCTCGGGGGAGACATCCGTGTTCTCCTCTTTTTGGCTTTCAGCTGCTGTGTTCTTTACTTGGTAAGCTCTGTGACTGCTTGTCAGAGATGCAAAGGATACACATTTTGGAGCACGTTATTATGTGTTTTAGTCATCTAGTAGAGACACTGGTAAGCTAGCAAAGTCAAGTCTTAATAAATAATTCTGTGTCTCTGGAACAACAGACATCATTACTTTTGTTCCAAGGGAAAATAAMCAGATTTGAAAGTAAACAGCTGAGGATCATACTACAAGGGGCTCTAGACTTCACCAAAATAAAACACATTTGTGTGTTTTAGCTGTAGAGTGCAACTTTGCAAACTTTTCTCCTGTTTTTTTTTTTCCCCTGACCTAAATATTTGGAACTTACCATCCATCTCTATTTTTGTTAGAAACAGCTTTTTAAAATTGTTTGCACTAAGGATTTAAATGTTTTTCCATTCAAGTCTGCCAATTTAAATAAGAATTGGCCCGTTTTAAGTACTGTCATTTGTAATAAAAACAGAAGTGAACTAGATTTCAAAAAATAGTCCAGATTAATTAAAAGTTATTAATTTTATGAAATATCAATGTAGAAATGGAATCCAGTTTATTTGAAAATGGAATCCAGTTTATTTACCCTGACATGATCTGATTGTTTTCATGTGCTTTAATTTACACTCAGACTTGCAGGAATGAGATACTAATAAAGCTGGTTCAGTTGATTAGATGCTAATATTGCTCTACAGCAATTTTGTTACTTGCAGAATTATATAGGAAAATAATTATTATGTCATCTTTTTCATCTATCAATAGTGACTTTATTATTAACTTAGTAGTACAGGGGAGTTGTTTTCTCTGCAAAGCAGACTTGATACCTAGATCATTCCAAGTCTTTATAATAATTTCAGAAGTATTTCAGATGATTTTAATTAGCATTTCTATATACTGTATTTTTATTCCTTCATCTCAGTTCCTTTGGCTGCAGCTACAAAAGCAGCATTTATCTTTATGGAAATAGTAGCTTTTAAGAATTGACTAAAGAGACTAGCACTGTATAAATTAAAGTGGGCACTACCTTCTCCCCTCATACTTCCAAAATTATCTAAAACTTCTCTGCATTTAGCTTACTTCTGGATCCATCCAAGCTTAGGAGGGAATGCTGTGTCCTCTTCTGCATTCCTAGCCTTGAAAGGAATGGGGGACATCTGCTTCTATGAGTATTTTGAGGGGAGAAAAGGTTCTCGCTGAATTCTAATCACTTTAGTCCTTAAGGAAATACATCTTTAAAGGAGAAAAGTCAGTAAAAGTGAGAAAATGTTTCCCAGTCAAGCGCAAGTTTCAAGAATAGAAATGGAAGCCTTTTGGAAATTGCAATAGTGACACATAGGTTAAAGAGGCATGTAGAATTGTTCAGCAAATTTAATGTTAACATAGCTCTTCAGTTTATTGTGTGACACCTTTACATGGTGATATGCTGATATATTTATATATACAGAKTTTGTGTGTGCACAAATGTAACCACAAGAGCCCAGAAGCAACTTTGCTTAGAATCACACCAGGAAATGTATGTGCCAAGGGATTTATTGCCCACTGTCTCTTTCCTTTAAGAAAAAATAATTGAGAAGGGAATGTTTTTCTTTCAAGGAGAAGGTGTGGTTGAATGTAGACAAAAGTCTGGAGTGTATTATACAGAGGGTGGACAAACTCCTGCAGAAGGAGCGCCTGCAGAGCGACAGCTGCGAAGACGTTTTCCAGTGCGACACCAGCTGCACGAGTAAGAAAGGTAATCGGGACACTCGCGCCTACTGGATAAATCCAGAAGACTTAGATGAGGTCTCCTCTCCACCTTCATCATCCTCACCAGCACCTCCATCCACACCACCTTGCGCATGCCATTCCCTCAGAAGCACACGTGCGTATGCCCGAGCCCGCCGCGCGCTCGCCTCCTCCCCGGCCTGCCGCCTCCTCCCGCCCCTGTCCCGCAGGGAGCGCCCGTGTCCCGCCGGGAGCGCTGCCGCTCGGAGCCGCGAGGCCCCTCGCTTGGCTGGGAGCCCTGGGCCAGCTGGAGCCGCTCCTCTTGGCGCCACTGGGATTTCKCCTTCTCTGGCCGCCTTGGGGCTTCTCGGGGGGCTCCTGTTGCAAGTGGAGCTTAGAAAGGGAACCGCTGTAGGGGGTGAAATACAACACGAGAGAAGTGCAGGCACCACTGCTGTGGTGGTCCCAGCTGGGCTGCCAAAGGGAAGGAGGATCGCCAGGCAGGCCCTTAGACTGAGGTAAACTTGGATGAACTTCCCAGAGTTTTAAGCAGACAGTAACCCAAAACTTTGATCCGGAAGTCCTTGACTAGTTAGATTTCACATAGCTGGAAGGTAGGAATTGGCACTGCCAATTCCACAGTGGAATAATCCTGTCAAAATCACGAGGTCATGAGGGTACTGCGCAGAATCCAGGTGCTTAATGCCAGGAGCTTGCAAATGAGAGGGATCCTTACCAGTTTAGGTTGATAGTTTTCCAGCCTTGCATTAAATTCCAAAATTATTTCATTTACATATATACACATTTGGCTTGTTCCCCCATTCTTTGCTATAAGAAATCGTCACGGCCACTGTCCTTTTCCCATTTAATGGAACAGGTATGCCAAGTCTAGCTCTAGAAAGAGATTTGTGCTTCCATTCCCTTATTCCTGGTCTGTCTTAATCGTTTCATGGCTCTTCCTTCCTTGCATATGTCTGTGACTTCATGTCCATTCATCTCGACATTGCAGTAAAGTTGGAAGTACCTTAGAGGATAAAGAAAAAATGGAAAAAAAAAAAAGGCAAGAAGGAGGTTAAAATAAATGTTTATTTTACTATTTAGTATTATTTAGTATGGCTGYGTGCCTCTATTGCATTTGATTTGCTTAGCATTCTAAATGACTGTGGTTTCCAAAGTTAGACTGACGTTTTGGGGTAKGATAAAGGAATAGAGGGGGAAAGTCTTGTTTCAGAATATGCCCTATTCATATTTATGCCTCAGTTGTGTTCTAGCAGATTGACAGCTTGAAATGTTTCTATTTGCTATCTACATTTATGAAGTTTTATGTAATTTACTCTGAAATTTTAATACAGTAAGCTTTAATGCACCTTCATATCAACAATAACAGGTTTTGAATTTTTAATATTATAAAAAGAAAAAAATCTGTAGTGAGTGGTATCAGAAGCTTTTTCCAATGAAATTCCATGCTAAAAGCATTTTAAAACAATCTTTTCCAAAATTTACACAGAGTTTTCAGTCAAAATTTTACCTCTGCTCTGGATCTCACTTATGTCATACCAAAGAGGAATTAGCTGCAGTAGTTGCATTCCCTCCTGTGCCTCTGGAACAGGAAAAAGAATCCCATTTAATCCACAGAATTTGACAAATTAAATCCAGACATGTAGCAAGCTTTGAAGTTGAGTGGTTGCCACTTCCCAGTACTGCTGAAGTTTAAGGACTAGACTGGAGGTCTTAAGCGCTGTCAAGCAAAGTCTTGCCTGAACATAGCTTAAAAAATCCTCGAGGGGGTATCCTGTTTCTTAGGTATCTGATGCAACAGCTTCCATGTTATAAGAGAACATGAACTCATTGAAATCAATTGGAATTTTTCCATCAAATTCACTTCCTTTTCTCCACCCCAAAGCTGCTATCGCTCAACACAGCTGACTTTGGGAATAACTGAAAATAAAGAATGTCCATTCTGTAGGTTTAGATGCCAACTTTTTAACATTTTTCTTGTGAACTATTCAAAGGAGTAGTACTTTAATAATTAACTTTTTGTCAGATGAACAAACGAACAGATTAACAACCAGGACTTAGTCTGAATGCAGTGTTAAAAAATAAAAACAAACAAGATAAAGCTTAATCCTATATACTGCCAGAGCTGATCGAAGATGCCGTAAAATGCTACTAAAGGACTTTAAGGGCCCCCTTTAGAGGTGAACATTTCAAAAAAAGATATTGCCTAAAATAGAGGGACCTTAAGATATTTTGATTTTTATTTTCATTATAGACTCAGATATTCATTATGAAAATTCCATTGGGGCATGTGTTTTCTTCAATGAATACTATGAGACTTAACAGGTTGTCTTTGTGCTTATAGTTGAATTTGTTATTTTCTGCTGCCATTTTCACATCCGTGGTTCATTGACTGGTGAATCTGGATGTGAACACAACGGATGTTTAAATCTGCTGGTTTAATGAAAGGCTATTCCTTAATGCAAGGCGTGTTGTAGCAGGGAGCACTGCCCTTCTACGTTTTGCACCGCGCTCTAGCTCTTCTCCTCTGACAAGCTGTCCCTGTCACGAGCTTCACTGGGGAGCTTTGAGCTCTTAACACACCACGCAGTGCGGGTGTTAACTGCCTCAGAAACTGTGCAGCAGAAAACGGTGATATCCTGTATATCCTAAAATAGCGAAAGGCCGATACTCTCGCAGCGTGGGGCACCTTAATGCGGCTTTCTGCGAGGCGCGCGAGCACGTTGAACCTCCTGCTAGTCTTTTGCTATCCTGTTCAGCTGCCTTCTTGCCAGCTTACTCTGGAATTGCACTAAGCCAGCGGTTCTCCAATGGTGCCTGTGATCACTGCGGGTCACCAGCGCCCCGGGGCCATCCCTGGGGAGGCACCGGGGCCTTGTCCCGGTGTCCCCGAGCTCAGGGATGGGGRAGTGGGGGGGACAGCCTGGGGCCAGGGACTAGCTCTGCTAAGCTGCGCCTCGCTGCGAGATCCCCGGCCCCGAGCATTTGAGTTGCTCATGTTGAGACTGTGTTGCTGCTCCCTAATCATGCATGTCGCCCCTCCATTTCTGTGCAGATGGCAGCCCCGCTCCGGAGGAATCGGGCCCAGGTATGTGCGTTCATGGCTTCCGCTTCTTCTGGGAACGGCGGGGTTTTGTTTGTGCGCAAACCACCCGACGCGGGCCTGGCTGATGAGGCTGACCCTTACGGAACGGTAAATGCTCCGCAGCGTCCTGTGGTCTGCCGAGGCGCCTTGGGACGTTGTAGTTGCCTGAGGTACAGTGCGAGAGGGTGTCTGGCAAGCGCTGCTCGCCCACGTCTCACACCTGAGTGTCGGAGAGCGTTTGTTGCTCCACGTGGCACGTGCGACTGGACACGTGTGGGAGGCAGCGGTTTGGGCCCTGCTCCCGGTGCCGGTGAGGCCCACGGGAGCCCCACGTGAAGGTGTTTTCAGACGTGCCCTTTCACATGCCTCGGGGAAGCTGCTTTCCAAATGAGAAAGCAGCTTCGAAAGCTTTCCGAATGAGAAAGATGAAGCTGCTTTCCAAATGAGCCCTTGGACACCGAGCTCCGGGGCCGAGCCGCCGGGGCTGAGGGAAAGCCACGTGGCCAGGGGATGCAGCAGGCCGGCCTCGGCTTTCGGGAGCCTCAGTGAAGGCCTTGATCAGCTGCTCAGCTTCTTCCTTGTCTCCCCGTAGTTCCTCACACCGTTGTTGTATGTACAACATCTGAACACCTCAGTGACACTGCTCATTCCCAGCTGGATGGCTGTAATTTTTCCAGTCCGAGATTAGTTTAATCAAGCTGCGTGAAGGTTAAGTTTGAGGATGGGTGCAGCGTGGGCCTCTTGGGTTTAGCAAAGCCAGTGGGCTTTGCCCTTACAACTTCAACACTGAAAAGACTCAAGATACTTGGTTGGAAACTCAAGGCTCTGCAGTCCAGTTATTACAATATGTTTGCTGCTCTGCCAAAATACCAAAATAAAATTTCCAAAATAAAATCCTTTCCCACATATATGTTAAAATCTCTGATTTATACAGAGGGGCTCCACTATATGACTCTATAGGCCTTACCAGCACATTTTTTTTTCTTCCTTTATATGTAACATGTCAAAGTGTGTCTTAAAATATGGTTTTGCTCAGCACTGCTGGTAAGAAAAGCCAAAAAGACTTGCAGAGCCAAGGCTGGCCCTTACTTACCAGACAGAGATCAGCTGTAGCTGTTGGAGAGGAGCCTGCAGGATTTGTGTCTTGCCATGCAGCGTGTGTCTGTAAAACACACCGAGCAAACGACAGGCTTCCTGACGGTTTGCACTGCGCCAGCTTTCAAATCTGGAATAACTTTTAACATGAACTAGAGACCTCTGATAAAAATGGGATTTATGTCCAAAATGTATCCCAAGCTGGCTTGGACTCAAGCTCCAGCTGTTGTAAATCTACAACAGTTCCTTCTGTCCCCGTTGACGTGAGGCCCTAAACCAACTTATTCTATCTATAGATTTGCTCTGTGGAGTCAATGATAGCTTAAAAATATTCTGGTCATCTTGTAAAACATAAGAGCAGAGCTCAGAATAGGTTTCTCCTTAGAGTGCTTGTGGTGGCTGCAAGTGCCACTGCTTAATTTATGGAGCACCCCTTGCAGAAATAAGGAGATTGATGAGGCAAAGACAGAATAAGGAAGGAAGAGTCCAAGTGAATGTGAACACAGAGAGCCCTTTTTGTTTAAAAGCTGTTATTGGAATGTGCCACCCTGATTTGAGCATTTGGCAGTGATTTCTTTTATTCATGTTTACTGTTAATGGCAGCTTCCACGCCTGAGCAGGGGGCTTGGACTAGGTGATCTCCAGAGGTCCCAGCCACCCTCTCCTCTTTTGTGATACTTTATGATKGCCATTTAAAACAAAGCATTGCCCAAGCACCCTACGATTTTAAATCTTCCTGGAGTTACTTATCCATATACACATATGCATATCCAGGCAAGGCAATGATGATGTGCCAGATCTCTCCATTTTTTTAAAGTTCTCATTCCTGCAGAGCAAAGCTTTTAAGTGCAGTAACAGAAACACTTCATTAGTATCATCTGGATTTTGCTTTCAGAGTGTTATGACATCTGTTTTATTTTGAGAGGAAAATATTTAATAGAATATGAGAGAAGCCATAATTCTTTGTTCTTTTGATGTTTCCTGCACTCTTAAAGTAAAATGATGAAACAGAGCCAAATAACTTCCCTTCATCTAGTTTATGAGATTGTCTATCTGCCACGTAGCACAAAGCAAGGATAGCGCTGTTCATCTTGTCCGTTATGTTTCTGCTAGCAGACTCCTCAAGTTCCACTCTTTGGATGGTTATCCAAGAAGCRTGTGTTATTGCCGGCCCTTAGCGCTGCCTTGCAGTCGGAGTCACCAACAGCTTCCTGCCACAGGCCTGGAGTGACCCTGTGCTCAGGGGTTCCGCTCTGCGCGCAGCCCCGTCCTGCCACAGCCGTCCAGGAGAGGCTGCTGGAGCTGCTGGAGCTCCTGCGCTTCCCACAGATAAAACACATGGGCCTTCCCTTCAAAGGGAAGTGTCCTGCTTTAGCTTTATGTTAAAGAGGGCAGAACCAAAACACTGTTCTGGCCTCTCCTTGTGCTGCAGAGAAGACTTCTCATGCGCTTGTGGAAATGGATTTTAAAAACTGGTGGCCAATAAGACAGAAGGTGAAAGAAGGCTGGRAAGGAAACGAGAGGCCTTCTCTTTAGGGAGAGTTAACAGTGCAGTGCTCCAGGTGCTGAAACAGGGCCCTGGCAGCCCAATTGCATTTCCCTGTCACAGCAGCCCCTACAGCTTCTAATGATATGGCCAGTCYGGGCCACTGCACATTTTTACTGGCTAGCTCTAAGCCTTCAAAGCCACTCAGTAGATTGGGGACACTTAAAAAGAGAGACTACGTGATTTTGTACCTACCTGCCTTATAATTAGCACGCTGCCAATGAGAAATGAACTTCACTGAGGTGTCGCGGAARGATAAATAGTTTTAAGATAGTGAAGCAGTTAAACGATACGATCATGAGACCCCAAAATTTCAGGATAGGAGTGTCTGAGAGAAATCTCATTGACAGAAGTGGCCCAAAAGATCTGCACTGGACCCTCCATGCTGYGTCCCTGCACTGTGAAAGGGTGTGTTTGAACAAGCACACACATTTATAYACCCTTGTGTATACGGATATGTCTCTTCCTGTTGTGCTTTCCAAACAGCTGTTGTATGGTCTGTTCTGTGGGGCAGACCTGGGAGCTATTACATGGCTGGGAAAGCTTTAACAACCTTCTAGAGTAGAAATCTCCATGTTTTCCTCCTTTGAGGAAGGAAACGAGCAGGGATTCAGCAGACAGCCAGAGTAAAAGAAGCACTAAGAGTAGATCATTTTGCTTTAACTTGCAACGGGGGATTTTATCTACATGGGTGTGTGTTTCAAACAGAGGGCTTAGACCAAGATTCATTTTGCTTTTCTTACCCAGGTGAATGGAGCGAGGCCCTTTACCCCTTGCTGACGACGCTCACGGACTGCGTGGCCATGATGAGTGACAAGGCCAAGAAAGCCATGGTGTTTTTGCTCATGCAGGACAGCGCGCCAACGATAGGGCTGTGCCTGAGCCTGCAGTATCGCAGGGACGTTGTCTTCTGCCAAACTGTAAGCAAAGACATTCGCGTGGTTTGATTATGCTCAGACCTGGGCCAGGGTTTTATGAAGTATGGCAGATGTCTGCAGAATTTTTCTGAGCTATTTTTACCCTCAGGTTGAACACTATGATCTGCTGTCACAGATTGTGCTGTCCTGTTATTTATTGTTCACTTGCATGTGTTTGGGAACTGAGAAACAGTGAGGAAAATGCTGTATACAGAAACAACTTGCCAGTGCCACTGATCCAAAACCAGAAGTGTGAAAGAGAAAGGAGGGAAAAAAAAGAAARCTTTATAAGCAGAAAGTACTCCCACACTTATATTTGTATGAGGAAAACCAATAGGGTCTTTAATGCCTAAGGAGAGAATTCCAGCCCCAAGGAGAGGAACGGGTGCTGAGATTTTATTGAAGTCCTTTTTTGAGACCTGTTGGGATCTCTTTTGTGCCAGCCGCTCACTAGGAGATGTCTGGAGGCACTTTCCATATTTTTCCTGCCCAGTCTATTTCTTCAGCTTGTCAGCTGTCCTGTGGAAACATTTCATATAATAAGAATCAATGCCTAGTTTGTTTATTTCAAACAGTTCGTGCCTTGTATATGGTCTGGTAGAACAGTTGTCCCAAACTGTAGTTTCTCATAGAGATAAATGGAGATCTTTTTTCCATACACAGCCCACTTCACAGACAATTTTGTTTAACTCAGTGCTTTGACTGTTTACTCATCACAAAGATGAGAGAGATTATTCTGATAAATTCCAAATTACAAAACTTAATCTCAGCATAAGGGCCTTTTTCTGGATGTCTCATAACACTTCAGAGTTCAAATCTTTATGTAATACAAGCAGACATTGCCTTTTTAAAGCATTCTGAAAATGTCATTTTAAAAACAATAATCATACTATCAAAATTCTTGGTTTTGAACTGGTTGTGTTGCTTTCTCATCTGTAACTGTAACTAAAACAATTCTCCGAGGAGACTTGTAGCTCTCCAACTGTGGATTCTAGTACAAGTGGTTATGTCAAGAAAACAAGTATATGTGAGATGAACAACAGTCCCACCTTGGAATGGTGGGACTTAAGCCATAGTGAGTCAAGCCAATGCTCTTAATCAGATTTTAAGAGTGTTTTGATTCRTGTTATTTGGTTTTCTCACTTCAACTGCAAGGAAAAAGAAGAGAACCACTTAAGGGAAAAAAGCATCAGGCTGACAGATTTTAATGGCATCTCTTATATACAGGATTGTTCCCATGTGGGGCTGAAGAGTTTTTTTGTCCTGCTTTATTTCACTCTTGTCTCTCTTCTTCCCTACAGCTGACAGCCCTTATTTGTGGTTTCATTATCAAGCTGAGGAACTGCCTACACGATGATGGATTTCTGAGACAACTCTATACCATCGGCTTGCTGGCCCAGTTTGAGAGCCTGCTGAGCACTTATGGTAAAGACACAGAGCATGTGGGTGATAGCAGCTGTGAGTCACCAAATTCTGCTTTAAATTGGCTACAGCAGAAGAGCAGTGTATGGGGCAGTCTGCAGCTCAGCTACAAAACAATTTTGAAAGCAGAAATAAAAAAGTAAATAGTATCTGGAGTAGTTAATTAGCAAGCAAATGGCAATTCAGAATTCTGATTTAGTTGGCTTTAAAAAATGAAGGGCACTTACCTTGTAATAAGTGCAAGGGTTGGTTACACTAAGTGATTGGTGTTTTCTCTCCTTCACAAAGTGAAGTGAATTCACCAAGTGAATCGGGACCTTGTCTGCAGTCAGGCAGATGCTGATCAAAGCGGAGGACTGGGTTCCCTGCCCTCCTCACCCATAGAGCTCCTCACCCATAGAGCAGTGGTTGCAATCCAAGCAGATGGAGAAGGGAAAGTTGTTTGTAAAAATKTTGATTGTCTTTTTTTCCCCTTGATCTAGGCGAGGAGCTCGCAATGCTGGAGGACATGAGTTTGGGAATAATGGACTTGAGGAATGTAACCTTCAAAGTAACKCAGGCCACGTCAAGTACATCTACTGACATGTTGCCGGTCATCACTGGGAATCGGTAAGGAAAGAAGTGGGGGCAGAATGTGGGGGAAGAGGGTGGGACTGGAAAAGAGAGAAGCAGTGGTGCCATACCTGAAACTCAAGTGAATAATGTGCTTTTGTGTCACGCTGTTTTTTCCCTCAGAACTGCAGGGAGGTGGTGCGGAGCTGACTTCTTCATTTTTGCCCGGGTTTCTTTTTACAGGGAGCTAAACTGAAAAAGGATATATGGAAAAGCTCAGACTATGGCAGGTTTTTTTTATGAGTAGGTATAATCTTGACTTGGCCTCCCATAGCCRTATGAGGAAAAGCTTTACCGYGAAGGTGCCAGAGCCCTGGCACAGGCTGCCCAGRGAGGCTGTGGAGTCTCCTTCTCTGGAGGTCTTCCAAACCCGCCTGGATGCCGCCCTGTGCCCCGTGCTCTGGGTGTCCCTGCTGGAGCAGGGGGTTGGACTAGATGATCTCYAGAGGTCCCTTCCAACCTYGACCCTTCTGTGATTCTGTGAAGTGATCAGTGTGCTCCGAGGGACCCGTATTCTTACATTYTGGATTATCTCTTGAGCCTGTTCTCCCACACAAGAGGTTCCCAGATGTTTATCAGGTGGTCAGTGCTTTACTCTGTGCCATTGACCAAGGGRTTGTCATTAGCACTGCAGGACATGGAGCTCATTAGTTGCCATTGGGGCAAGGCCTGTTTAGCACCAGTTTCTAAACTATCTAAACTGTGTATTTATCTTGTGGATGCTCGTGAAGCACCCAGCTCCTCCTCATTTTGGCTGCCTCTCTATAGAGAGGGATTTAAAGGTTGAGTTTAAAAGCAAGCTTTTTTTTTTAAGCCTTTTTGAAGTGTTGAGCCATCACGAGGCCTCACATGAAGCAGAGTGGGAGGACCTGGTGCAGCTTTGCTGTGGTGGGAGGCTTTCCCACAGATGGAGGAATGCTCTCCTGCAGGCCCCGCTGGGGAGCCTGCCCGCCAGCTCCCTTCTGCCTAATGCTGAGAGGCCCCTGCGAGAGGCTGCAGCCCTGAGGTGGCTCTGGGTGGCAGCCACTCCAGAGCAGTGACCGTCCAAAATGCTTCTGTGTTGTGCAGAGCCTTCCATACCTCTAAGTTCGGGATCTGACTTCCTGAGGAAATGAGTCTTTTTGGATGGCAGAGCACCAAGCACCCTGGAAGTGTTGCCCCATTTCGTCCACGTCTTGGGAAAGAGCTAYAATGCTCAAAGCTAAATATATTTGGCGTTACTTAATTTTAAGTTCAGGTTCAGCTGCAGTGGGAGGTACCCTGGCTGAAGGAGAGCAGATTGTTCACATTGCAGCACTTGCTGAGACCCTTGTGCATAGCTGAGAGCTGGCAGAAAACCCCTTCCAAAGAAGAGCTTTAGGTAACACTTGCAGTCAACTACAGGATACAAATCAGTAGAAAACCAGATTTCATTAGTTTCAGGTCCCAGAGTGCTGCTGAGATAGTGCTTATTACTTTTCTGTCTAGATTTTGCTCTAGAATGGAAGAAAAATGATACTTATTTTAGTGGAAACTGTTGGAGGCTGTAGATTGAGAGGTGAAAACAAGTTTTTGCTCTCAGACATAACACAAGATATATACTGCTATATTTTTCCTTTTGTCCCATGCAAATGGGTCACAGAMCAATTTTGATTATTTTGCACTATGGCTCTCAGAGCTTGTGTGGTTCTTGAGGGATTTTTTAAGTGTCTGGAGAGCAGAAAAATGAACATAGAAAAGTTGTGTTGTAGGGACATTGTAGGTACTGCTGTGGCTAGCTTAATGCAGGGCACACAAACCACTATAACTTATGTCTGGGCAAGCCCTCAGCCTGGAGCAGAGCTAGGGTAGYAGCATTTCCTTCAGTCTGCAGTGTTGGTAGGGGTTGAGGAAAGCTGCATTGCTCCACGTTGGCCTCGGGATGGAGCGTGCATGCCTTTGCTGTAGCCCAGCTGACCCAAGGTAACCTGTTGGGCTCCAGGACCAGGTTTGTAGGTCGGAGCCACAAGGTTCCGGATCAGCACTTTTGTTGGCTCCCTCTTCAGTTTGGGAGCCAGTTCTATGCTTGGGTCATTGCCCCTACCCTTCAGCTCATAAATACCAGCCCTACTCATATCTAAAAACACTTCTGTCCTGACACACACATCATCCCCCATGCATGGTAAMGGCTTTTACTTCTATTTTTCTACTTTAAATCTTCTTTCAAATCTTTTATTGTCTTTAAACCTACTTTTCTACTTCTGATGAGATGGGGACATACCAAAATTCAGCTTGTTCTCATCATGTGCAGAAACTAGAGCATTAATGGGGAAAGCAAATTCAACTTTTGTCAGGAAATTGGGAGATTTGATTGAAATACCCAAGAGGACATAAAAAGAACATCATAGGCTGTTGTTTGTTTGTTTTTAAGCTATTATAGATTTTCCAATAATGATCAAGCTCTGGCAGTACTTCAAAGGCTTGGATTTTGACTGATGCTTATTTTTTTCAGAATTGGATTATATTTTAGATTTGCGTTTATATTTTACATTTTTCACACAAATAACACATTGTCACAGTGTTGCTTATTGTGCTGCATGTCTAACAGCTGCTTGTTTTTTTTGCAGGGATGGGTTTAATGTGAGGATCCCTTTGCCAAGCGCCTTGTTTGACTTGCTGCCGCGAGAGATTCAGAGCGGGATGTTGCTGAGGGTGCAGCCTGTGCTTTTCAACGTGGGGATCAACGAGCAGCAAACCCTAGCAGAGAAGTAGGTRTCGAGTCGTGCAAGCTCAGCCTTCAGGGCCGTTCCACAGCCTCCTGTTCTGATGGAAGTGTCTGTGTGAGATTGCACTGTGGCATTGTTGAAATGATTCATTTTCTCTCTCAACACAAGAACAAACACCATCAAAGGAAGCTGGCAGGTTGCAAACAAACAAAAGGAGATACTTCTTCACACSGTGTGTAGCTGTGGAGCTTTTTGCCTCATGGCTTTGTGTGTAGTTAAGGTTTACGTGGTTCAAAAGTGGTGTTATGGAAGAGGACATATCTCATGGGCTACCTAACAGCATTGGGTCTTTGTCCTGCTGGTTTTGTGCTCTTCCCAAGGCTGCTGCAATCTGCTGGGCTAGGTGGACCTTCCTTCAATTTAACCTGCAGTTGCAGTACTGATGTAATGCCACTGTAAAGCTGAAAAATGTAATTAGACAATTGTATTAGTGAAGCTGTTTAGTTCCAGGGGAGCTACCAGAGCTTCCCTGTGGTATGGCTTTATCCTACCTGTAAGGAATACACTGGCAGGCTGCAGCTCTCCTGGAGAGGCCCAGAGAAGTCCAGCACACCATGGACAACACCATGTTGGGGCACCAGCCTTGTGACATGGCTGGAGTGTGCATCATCTAAAATGCTGGGTATCAAAACATGGGTATTTATTGCAGGAGTTCATGTTTTCCCCTACGGTCTGAGAGAGACAAATGTTCTTATATCAGTTGAATCACAGCGTTGCTGACTATATTTATGTTGACATTTTATCCCTCCTAGATTCACTTTTCTTATTCATGTGTCTGAAATCAAAGTTCTTCATCCTGCCTACTGGTGTGCCACTTGTTTTTGCTAACAAATGGATCCAGCGCTTCAATTTTTGCAAAAAGATCTACTGAATAGAAGGGAATTTAGTATTGATAGAAAGATACAGAAAAGAAGTGCTAATTTCTGTCAGATTTTCCTTCCTGCCTTTCCACTGTTCCTGCACTCATGCAGGTTGTTTTTTCCAGAATGATTCACCACAACTCTTTTCTATTACACTTTCTTCTGCATTTGAATAGGAATTTCATAGGATATTTCTGGCTGAAGATGTTTCTGAGAAAATGGGAAAGACTACCTTGGCCTTAACTGTTTCCTTSTTCACCTTTTAAAGGTTTGGAGACACGTCGCTGCAAGAAGTAATTAACATGGAAAGCTTAGTCCGGTTGAATTCCTATTTTGAACAGTTCAAAGAAGTTTTGCCTGATGATTGTGAGTATTCAGTAACTAATGGCAAATTTGGTTGAAGAACAATTCAGGCTTTTTTGTTGTTTGCTTATTTGCTTCAAGTGAATTGCTAAAACGATGATAAGCCAGTAGAATACCTCCAAGAACTGGTGCAACTCTATTTTCACACATTAGTACTAAGTGGAGTAGGTTCAAGTTGATTTAAGTCTCATTCTGAGTAACCTTTTTTTTTTTTTTTCAATTTACTCTTGCATCTTTTTCTAAGAGGTCTATATGCTGTGCAAACAGGCAGCTAGGCAGTCAGATTACCATGAGAGAAGGTGTGACAGTGTCTGGCTGTAATGACAGCACCTCCACCTCCATTCTTGTGGTGATCTCTGTGCTTGTGGAGACCCGTTCAGACAGCAAATGCCATTTTGTAGGAGCTTCTGCTTTTCTTTTGAAGCTTCTGTCAAACTGTAGCATCTCCAGAAGATAAGACAAGTATCTGGAAGAGCTACAAAAGATGCGGGCTTGAATTTTACTGGTTTTATGGAAATTTTTTACTCCATATTTTCTCTTGAAGCAGTGGCATAAATGCATGACTTACATGTGACCACAGAAAGTTTAGAGTGCATTAATTCGGTATTATTAGTATCAATCTCTTCTTGTAAGCTAAATTTATGGGTTCCAAAGATGCAGTTCTGTGGAGAAATAGCAATGCAGCAGCCTGCAGTGGGACTGAGCTGCCGGGCAGAACGCTCTCTGTGGCACTTTGGGGGAAGATGCGTCCTCACACTCCCAGTTATCCTGGATTATTTTGCTGCAACTGAGAGCAGCATTTATGTTCCTCCTACAAGGCCTTGACTATCCACAATTCCTTGTCTGAAATTTTAGCTGCAAAAATTAAACAGTTTTTTAGTACTTAGTCTGGCAGAAAGTCTGGCATCAGACTTTCTTGTGATCTTCAGAAGTTAATCAATTTAGCAGTGATTTGTTTTGTTTGGTTTTGTTCTACTCTTCTCACTATTCCTTTGTTGTCTCTCTGTCCATGTAGACCTACATAATATTTCCTATTTAGTTCCTTTCTATCTGGCTTTTCTTCTTGTGTTTACTGCAACCTCTTCCCTCAACTCTTAGCCTCCTACTTTCATCTAGTCTTCTATTGGCTTTTGCCTTTTTCCTTGAACTTTTTTTTTTATTTCTTTTTTATCTTACAGTCTCTTTCTGTTTTCTGTCCTGTCCTTTGTTTCTTCTCTTTTCGTTTCTGTCCTCATGACTTTTTTGAACTCTGTTTGAGCTTTGTAGTTGTCCTCCTCTGTTTCTAAAGAGCACTGCTGCCACTACTTTGAGCTTCCCTTTTGCCAGTGTCACCTACTCCTTATACCAGATCCTTTTCTTCAGGTAACTTGAAGTTCTGCATAAAAATAGAGTGCAGARTTGGGCAGGTGAAGATATCCTGCATTTTCATGGTGAAACAGGAGAATCTTGTGTCCACCTTGCCCTTTCCCTGTTGTTTCCAGCTGGACAAGTCTGGGGCTGTGCTTACCGTAAGGCAGGTCTGAGGACAGGTGTGTTTTGTACCTCTGCTGTGGCAATTTTTAAGGAGCACAAAGTGAAACAATTGCCATGAAAATCCAGGATAATGTTTTCTTTAACTGTAAAGAGGTTGGTTGGTGGGACCAGCCAGAGGTGTAGGCCGTGGTAAGTACAGGCAAAAGACATTCATGTGCTTTCAGTCTGGGACATACTTGGCCTGAAAAGACAAAATGGGTCACTGGAAGCAGCAAGAGGCCAGTGAGGATTTGGCTGGCAGCCAATGTTCCCTCCATGAAAATGTTCCCTCCATGAAAAACAGACAGGAAAGTTGATTTGTGACCTACTGTCCTTTCTGTGAAAAATTTGGGTTCTCAACTGCCAGCCCTGCAGGATTTCAAAGTGAGTTGCTACCTTTGGCTGAAGAGAAGACATAAGGTTCCACTATATCTGCTTGTCTTTGGAGATATATGAGATGATTCAATATTTCTGTTGCAGACATTACTTTTTCTGTAGGTGTAGARTTCGAGCCAACTAAGCTAGACAAAATTCTGCTCACATATTTTTTGCTGCGAGAAGACATGCAGTCCAAAAACAAAAGCCTGCAGATCACGTGGGTTTTTTATTTTCTCCTGTCATAGTCTTTTTTAACAGTCCACACCATCTTATTTATCCACTCACTACTTTAGGTGATATCCTCCCTAGTCATCCCCTTTAAGAAATATCAGGGCCTATTCAGTACCCATTACTGAGCACATTGGTGCATGTAACACTTGAAACTCATGAGGATGAGATGACTGCTGAGGGCTTTTGAACAAAAAAAAACCTTTTAAATTCCTTCAAATAATTTCTTCCTGCTTAATGAAGTATTGATAAAGAGCAGCAGTGCAGAGACCTATCTGTCAGCTTGCAAATTCAAGGTTGAAAATGTGAGCATGTAAAGTGACATATTAAGAATTTCTGTGGAGGCTGATATGAAATCCTGGCACTTGGGAAGGGGARTAATATGGGCAGCTACGTATTTACATTAAGTTCCAAAGTGTGTGAATGCAAGCGTGTCTGTGACGTTATTAAACCAGTCTTGCTGTCTTTATTCCCTGTGTTACTCTAGAGCTCTCAGAGCCCCTGAAGGTTTAAAGATGCACATTTCCAGTTGAGTTTAATAAAACTTGAGTTAGAATTGGCTATTTTAAGCTCTGCGTCATTGTTGCCAAATAGCAGATAGGAACACTTTTCTTGTAGCATATTTTTATGAAAATGTTGAATGCTAATAAATAATTAGTCTTGTTTTTTTTTTGTTTTTTTTTAGGTCTACCTCGATCTCGTAGTCAGACATGCCTGCCTGAACTGTTAAGATTTTTGGGACAAAATGTACATGCAAGGAAAAATAAGAATGTTGATATCCTTTGGCAAGCTGCTGAGGTATTTATTAATCAAAGCACCACTGCGTAGTTCAGTCAGTCCTCTATATTTATAAATACACTGCATTTTCACTTTTTAAAATGACTCATATTTTCAAGATTCTTCCTTTTCTTTCCTACATCCTGGAAATACTGCCAGGTTAAACCTCCTCCAAGGTGAGAGTGTTACCTCCTAAATAGTGTAAAGGTTTGGTTTTATTTATATTTAATATATATATTAAATAAGGGTATATTTAGTATATATATATTTATAAATAAATATATTTAATATTTATTTATTTATAGTTTGGTCTTATTGGCTGGGGAGATTAAAGAAAATACATTTTTCAAATCAGCCTTTTCCCCACAAGAACCCCTGCCATGAAGTGCTGCTGTCCCAAAGTGGACAGCTGGTAACATCAGAGTCCCACACAACGTGTGTATCTCTCCAGGGAGGAGATGTGCAGGTGTGTTCTCTGCCAGGAGCTTATGTGTGGGGAAGGAATGATGAATTGTCCGTGCCATTCCCAGGTGTGCCGCAGACTGAATGGCGTTCGTTTTACGAGCTGCAAAAGTGCCAAGGACAGGACAGCCATGTCGGTCACCCTGGAGCAGTGTTTGATCCTGCAGCACGAACACGGTATGGCTCCCCAGGTCTTCACCCAGGCTCTGGAGTGTATGAGGAGGTAAGAGTTGGACTGCAGTCATTTATTCCTAAATCAAGAACCGTGCAAACTGCAGATGAGTAGCGCCAGGAGTGAGGGTCTGTGCTTCTATTAAAAAAAAAAAAAAAGACTAAAATAAAGCCAGAAAACTGCAAAACTGGCTGCTAGACTTCATCCCTTGTAGWATAAAACATACTAGTGCATGCAGTTAAAGCTGGTTGTTGCCAGAGTTGCATGAGATAGGCTTCAGTTTGCAAGAGTGGAGGTTTTCAGAGACACATGTGCAAATACATTTTCAGTTGGCCTGTTAGTGCTGAGCTGGCAGAACAGGAACCTGTGGCCCCTTTGAAAGTCGTCTAATGATGAAGTTGCATTGGCCCACAGAGCCCTGGGTTGCCTAGCTTTAGGTGAGGCAGGTTTCTGCAGCTGCAGTTTGCACTGGTTCACCAYGTGTCTCCTCTAGCAGTGAAACACTTTGCTCCCTGGGCAAACTGTCAGTGTGAGTGTTTCACGATACAGCAACCAAACCCCATCCCAACGTGTCAGTGTGCTCTTGTCCTATCAGCAGAATGATGTTCTGTATTCTGAAGCAGCAGACGTGTTTGCAGAATTAAATACTGTACTAAAAAAAAAAAAAAATCTGTTCACTGTTGTTCAATGCCTTGTTTCAAGCACTGCTGGAAAACTCCGTAACTCACATACCAAAAGAAAGGATAAGAAATCTAGCTTTAGTCTTTATCAATGTGGTTCAACAATGCTGTTCAGTCCTGTTTTTCAACATTCACTCTTACCAAATGTACTGTACTGTGTGTCTTCTCACTAAATTCTCTAGAGTGTTCAATTCTCTTATCCTTTCTGTATGTTTTTTGCTGTTTGACCCTTTCTAACTCATCAGTTACTTAGAAGGAAAATGTCTTACACACTAGCACTGTCTGACACTAATAACCTGTTTCCACTTCTACATCTAATTAGATGTCATTAGACTATTTTTTACCTTTTTGCTGCGCTTTCTGCTGCGTTGTTACACAGTAAGTACAGTATATGAAAACTCAGTATTCAGACACCAGTTAAAACCTTGATATTAGAACCTAAGAGATTTTGAAACAGCTTTGTGAGGGAGAAGATACTAGCTTAAAATGGAGCTGAGTGTCAAATATCTCATTGTTTAAGTTATATGAGTTACTTCTTCACTTAGATATCTGAAAGAAAAAAGCGCTGTTGCATAATTTTATTAAGTGATTTCTTCTATAAGAATAGAAACGGAGAAAGTATAATAATAAATCTCACTATTTCTTTAAAATAATTACTAATTTACTAATTTTTTAATTCCATCATGGTCACAGAGGTTCATAACAATATTGTTTTGGGCCTTCCAACCATCAATGTAATGCAACCCAGTATGAGGTGAAATGTAAGAAAACACACTCCTTATGTCAACCTACATCAGGATATTGAGAGAGGGCTGTTTTTAATCAATACCTCTAGCTAGGCTTTTCCAGCAACATCAGGGACTTGCTATAGAAGATGAAAGACCTGATGTTCTCTTCTTCTGTCACATCTTTGGCAGAGAGACCATGAGGAACTGCCTAGTTCTGCCTACTGCCTCAAATTTCACTGCTCTTTGGAGTAGTTTTTTAGTAGCGTGGAGTTGTGTTTTATTTGTTTATTTATTTAATATTCTATGATTCTGTTCATGACCAATGACACAAAGAAGTTGCAAATTAACTTTTAGTCATTTGAAAAACTGAGTTCGTTTGTTTATTTGCTTGTTTTCACTTGTATCTTTGATTTGTGCAAGAAAATGAAGGCTTGACTCGGTCTTGAAGCCTTCCGAAGTCTTTTGGACAGTTGAAAGGGCAAGGCAGTAGTCCAAGTATTTAATCTCTACATTCCAGTAAAGGAAAGCATTTTGGCATTTTTGAAAGCATCTTGGAAGTGTTCTTGAAGACTGAAGGAAGCACTGTCTTCTTCCATGTAATCTTCATTTTCAGAAGGATTAGTTGCTCTGCTCAGGGACATCCTCTCCCTCCTGTTCTTGTGATGATTACACATCTTTTGAGTGAGCATGGACATTAGAAGGAGACCACTGAGTCCCACTTGCAGATTTGGGTAGAAATTCACAGGTACAAGTTCACAGCTCTGCTCTTAGAAATAAGTCTTGGAATAAACTCACTTTTCTGCAAACCAGTCACAGCTTTTTCAGTCCTCAGTGACCTATTTACCATTTACTCACAGCCTGCAAAGAGAAGAAAACGTGACAGTRTATCTGGAAGTTCAGGCTATGCCAGAAATGACCATCTGGCTAATAAAAACCCCAGGCCTCTCAGTAGTCGCCGTCCAGCTTTGTGTCACATCCTTTTCCATCGGCAGCTGTGCTGCAAGAACCGTCACTCCTTCATCTTCCTCCTCCTACCAAGTTACTGTCTAGTGAGATTTGCCAGCAGAGCTGCTGGTGTGAATGTACCCTGCTCCACTTTCAATGAAAACCAGGGCAAACCATTTTCTTAACATGTTTAAAGCAAATTTTTATGAAACCAATTAGGAAGTGATCACACAGGCAAGTCAGCCAACCGAGGAGGGAAGCTCACTCTGACTGGGCTCTTGAAGAGCACCTGGAAGCAGTAATTTTTTTAGCTGTTATGCTGCTGAGTCAAGAAAAAAGTTAAATTATAAAGCCCTGGCAGTCATGTTTTGGTATGACCACTCACTGAAATGAAATAGTTGTGATGGAAAGCTTGCTTGGATTTTTTCTCTTAAGAAAACATTTGGGAAATGGATCAGGGTTTGTTTTTTTCCTCGTTTTAATAAAGTGCACCTCTGAGTTCAGCCRAGATGGAGAGGTCTTCTTGAACCTTGGGAAATAAAGCAAAGCACTGCTGCTTTTTTTGTGCTTTAAGTAAATTTACAGTTCATCTGATACATAAAGTTTTTCCTGCTGTTCCGTGAGCTTAGAGGATCTGTTTGTCCCTTGTACWCCGTGTGCATTGCCAATGAGAAAATAGGAATGATAATTACATCTATATTTTACTGCTGTGCAAAGGATGTAAAAACAAGCTGTGTTAGAATCAGTGAATGCATATTCAGTTCTTAGATATTAATCTGTTCTTAGATTTTAGTAGCCTCTTTCTAACACATCTTTCTGTGTTTCAGTAGCAAAATGCACAACACTGGCTCTGCAACATAATTTTTTGAGCAAAGTCACATTTAGCATCTAGCTTATTTTGACTTTTTGATGTACAACACCTAAAAATTCTCTCAAGCATATGCTTAAGATACAGCATGCTCAAAAATCCCCTACTTGTTTTCCTTATGACTATGACTCTTTCTAGACCTTGAACTTTAGAAAAAGCTTTTTGCATATTTTTTTTTCCATTGGGAGGGCAGGAAGCACGGTATTTAAAATCTTCAGTAAACAAAAGATGCTTATATATTTATTTAAAACTTTTTAAGAATACCTTTCTGCTTAGAGGATGAAAATTCTTTGAAATTAAACAGTTATTCGYAGTTCTGTGAGCTTAATGACAGCAGGATTACTTCACTGTTCAGCCATACAGTTCTTGCAGCTACATTTTTTTCTGAATATAGGCAGCAGATCTTTTAACACCTTTGGAAGGCGTCAAATTTCTTTAACTTCTGTCCAGGGACCAAATTTCAGCATTAATTTATATGAGTAAGCTGYGTTAGTAGGGAATTCTATTCTTTTCTTTACCGTGGTCCTTCTGTAGACACGGTCTTCCCATTAATGTTTCGTTTGAAAAATGAATGTGCACTTTGGTGTATTAGATATTTCCCAATTTCTGTTTTTTGCTTGTGTGGAAGCATCTGCATAGGCCCAGGGTGTGAGGGAAAGCTCTTTCCAGCCCTTGTGAGATCCTTAAATACAGTTTCCACACTGTATTTAAGTCTGCGTGTTTGTCTTCAAGCAYAACCAAGTATCCTGATACTGATTTAATGTGTCGTCTCCTCTGGTTTTATTAGTCTGCATTTTTCTATTCTCTCCATAATACCTTCCCGCCATTTGAAGTGGATTTTCTTCYTTGTTATCCTCCGTGTTTTACTTCCTTATTTATACCCCAAAACACTTTTCTTCCTCCATAGCTCTTCTATTCTTCAGGACTTCTGTTCCGTGCAGTCAGGAACAGGACTTCTCCTGTTCATGTTCCCCTTCATTTCTTTATCCTCCCCTTCAGTGCACTCTGTCTCTTACGGACACCTTCCAGTGCACGTTTGTGCCCGGTCACTTGTCACAGGTACATTTGATTTTCCACATGTCCACATCCAGGGCCACCCTTTTTGTGTGTAGCAGGGCCCCGTATCTGCTTCCAGCTGGGAATGGCGCTGAGCCAACTCCATACATTGCTACTTATCCTCCTTCTCCTTCGCTTGGTGAYCAGGTTTAGTTCCTGGCCCGCCTTCTGCCACTTGATTCTGACTTTTGCCAGCACCCAGAGGCTGTTTTTCTTCAGCACCTGCAGGACATGGCTGGTGTCTTCCAGCACATCACCTACTCATTACCGAAGCCTTGCTAGGTGACCAGGGAAGTCCTTTCGTGACTGGAGCAWGTGCAACTGCTCCCACAGGATCAGGCTGCCAGGCTGCGTGTGTGCATTGCTGTGCAAGCTAAGGATGGGCCTGGGCAGAGCGGAGCAGTGATCCAGAAGGAAATGCTTCCCCAAAAAGCCTCAGGTTGGCTGCAGAGGTGTGCTCTGTCCTAGGCTGTCTGTGCTCCCAGCGASGTAGGAAGCAGGGCTGCAGAGCGACGTGTGGGGTGACGCGTCATACCCTGGCGTGCACCGAGTTGCACGGTTGGACTCAGCGACCTCGAAGGTCTTCTCCAACCCTAGTGATTCTCTGCTTCTATGAAGTACTCAGAACATGTTTTGGAAAGCATATTGACACACACTTGGTCTGTTTTCGGGGGTTTTGTTGACATGTTAGGAGRTAGTTAAGAGATTGAATTGTTTCATTGCAGCTCACTTGGAAAGATGTTTGAAAGGGTCAAATACTACAATGGTTATTCA